TCATAGTCACTCACCTGCTCTGGGTGTTTTGGGAATAACTGACTTTACTCAAACCCCGTCTTCCTTTTCCAGAGAGTTAACAAGTGGCTCAGGTCTGGCAAAACAGGAATGGGCATGTGACCCAGATGGAGCCAACAGCAACAGAGAAGGAAGACTTTTGATAAGACTGTTGGAAGAGATTACGTGTGCTCTTTCCTGCCGAGGCTATAAGCAGGGAGGATGACATAAGCTTGGAACTGCTGGGAGCCAATACTTGGAACCCAAGAATGAAACCAACACAGTATAAGACTGAGGATAGAGAGGGACAAAGACTGACTTTGTTAGAATCCTTGGATTCAGTGAAAGCCTAAAGCCAGAACTATCCCAGGACTTACTGTTAAGTAAAGTGATACCAAAATTTTCCATTGCTCTTTAAACCATGTCATTCATCTGCCATTTGTCACCACCAAAAACGCAAAAAACAAAAAACTTTAACTGGTACAATAAGGTTGTTTGTTTTAATCCTTTTTACTTGTTTTTTAATTAGTAAACCTTATTTTTTAGATCAGCTTTAATTTCAGAATAAACACTCATAAAACACTGCAAGATTCAATTTATAGTCAATACATTTATCAAGCATCTACCATTTGCCTAACTATATATTAAGTGCTGGAGAAAAGTAATTTCTTCTTTCAAGGAGTTCATTCTTAATATAGGCAGTTACCACGTAAATAAGTAGCTACAATCTACATTATTAAGGAAACAAATTAAGCTCTTTACACTGGGAAAGTGAAGGCATGGATATAAGAAATACAATCATTTATCGATTTTTTTTTTAAGATTTATTTTATTTATGCATACAAGAGCTGTGATGTAGGCCAGAGGTGTGGGGTGAGAGAATTCACCAGAGACAGGGTGGGGAGCAGAACAGGCAGATCTACTGAAATATACTGCTGAGGGGAGCAACGGGTGAGATAGGAGAGATCTATTGCACCCTTTGTGGGTTAGCTCTGTGGCTGGGGATCGAACTCGCGCTGCAGTGGCTGTGGACAGCTTCCTAGTGCTGAGGCTTAACCCCATGCGCCACCAGGGAGGACCTATTGATACTTCTTTTGTCTGTCTAGGTGCGTGGCCTCTACCCTCAAGAAGCTCACCACCTATCAGTAGGAAAGATTATTTCGAGAGTCTGTGTGGCATGAAACAGATGTCTTAGGAACTGATATGAGGAAGACGTGGCTGTGGCTGGTGTGGGATGAGGGAAGACGTTTAAAAAGGTGAAATTTGGGTGAAGCCCCTTGAATGAAGAGCAGAGTGCTATGTGGGCTTTCCAAAGCTGAGTCCCCGCAACCCTACTCCTCTTTTACATAAACCTCTTCATTCTTACAGATTCAAATACTGTATTTAAAATTTGAAAATGGTCTGGCCATTATCTCCTAAGTTAACATTCACATATCCTATGGCCTAACAGGGTGACTCCGTTCTTCCTTTTTGAACAAGAGGGCCTATAATGGTCATTCTATGCCTGTCCCACCATTGTTGTGTTGGTTGTACAGGGAAAGGATAACTTGTTTCTTCAGTTGCCAAGTCTTCCCATTGGAAGAACTGCAGCTAAGGAAACTCACCCACAGCTGGACCTGATTTGACAAGATCCTGTACCTCAAGCCCAAATCTGCTGTCATAATGGGAAAAGATTCTGGGGATTTGGTAAGTAATGAATGTGTTTTGCATGTGAGAGGGATGTGGATTGTTGTAGACAGAAGAATGACTGTAGCAGATGTTTTCGAAAAAAGGCCACAGCAATACATCTGGTCCCAAACATTCTTTCAGAGCTCTGCCGCTCTTCTATCAAGAAATAGAATTTATTTCCCCTCCCCTTGAACTTGGGTGGGCTTACCTGTCCAACCAAGACTACAGCAGGATGCTGTCTTCCAGAGTCTGATAATGATAGTTTCCTCTTCTCTCTCTTTCTCTCATGATTTACCTGTAGGATCTGGCCACATAGAAGTCCTGGCCACATACAGATGTTCCAGCTGTCAACCCAGCAATGATTCCAGCAACAGTCAACATTGACTGCTGGTCATATGAACGAGCACTCAGATGATTCCAGATCTTAGCCTTTAAGTTGTCCCAGCTGATACCCAGAGAAATAGAGATGAGCTGTCTCCACTAAGTCCTACACAAATTGGAGAACTGTGAATGAAATAAATCAAAGGTCTGTGGAGCACAGTAGAAAGAGCAACAGCCTGTAAGTCAAAAGGGCTTGTTTCCAATCCCAGTCCTGCCATGAAATTCCCTTATGACTTTGGTTAAAAACTAATTTGATTTTCCTGGACTTGTTTTTGTTTTTTTCCCCATTTACAAAATGAATCTCTAAGGTCTTAACCATTTCAATCTGCCTACCTGTACAATAGCATAGAATCGTAAAAGATATTTCTATGATAATGGTAAAATTCATCTTCTCCAAATATAGCACAAAATCAGAATGGTGGATGATAGGCATCTTATAGTTTGTCTCAAGAAACTTGCTTAGTCAATAGATGAATAGTTTCAGACAGGTACTATATACCAAAACATTTTCCTGATCTACAGGTAGTTACATTCATGTCTAGTAGGATAAGAGTGTGTGTGTGTGTGTGTGTGTGTGTGTGTGTTTCTTTGAAAGTAAGTGGAATGTGGCTCGCATGTTATTTACCACACATTTCCTGGAGGCATAGTGCCTTCTTTTGAAACCAAGGCTATGCAACTTAGTAGCTTGTTACCTTGGGCAAATTACTAACCTTTCTGTGCCTTAGATTCTTCATCAGTAATATGGTGATAACTGTATTTTAAGGGCCATTTGTGGAGAATAAATAGGTTAATGTATATAATAGCATCTGAAACAGAGAAAGCCCTGGATAAGCATTAGCTATATATATATATATATATATATATATATATATATATATATATATATATATATATATTTAATGTGCAAGCCACTGGGCACATAGATCTGGTCCCTCTCCTTATAGAACTATCTTGTCAGGAATATTTTAAGCAAAAGACCATAATTCAATGTCCTGAGTTTTGTAACAAGATGCGTAGCAAGTGGTGTAGGAGCAGAAGTGGGAATGCCTGTCTTATCCTAGAGGGAAAGGTAGGGGCAGGATGAACTTCTGGAGGGTAGACTTTGATCCTTAAGGAAGAGAATTTAATGTCGGGGACACCTGAGAATATGGCAGCAGTCATAGGCAGCATGGGGAAGGCAGTTTCTGACTTCAAAAGACAAATATTGTTAGGAGGGAAGGAAGGATGTGTGGCAGATTACAGATTATGTGGCAAAGCTCTCACTTGAGAGCTTGTGGAAAACATATCTCAGGCCCTACCCAGACCTATCAATCAAAATGCACATTTTAACAAGATCCATTGTTCCTACTGAACATAAAAATTTGAGAACCACTAGTCTTGGAAAGACTCAGGATTCAAGCTGCTTAAGTTTAAATTTTGGCTTTCCTGTTTATTTATAAGTGTGACTCCAGACAAGCTATTTAACTGCCTTCCTATCCCTCAGTTTCCTCATTTGTGATTAAGGGGTAATATTTTCTGCCTCACAGGGTAGTTAGGACTAAATGAATTAGTATGTGAAGTATTTAGAACAGTACTTGACACCCAGTAAGTACAAGGATATTATAATTTTTGACTCATACACTACTATGGTCAGGGTTGTGCTATAAGCAGCCTGCCTTTTCATTTCTATTCAAGTGCATGTCATTTTGACATTTGTTCTAGATGAAAGGGCACCTGGAAATCAGAAGACTTGGCATTATAATGCCTCCAACGCCTAGTTTTGTGAAATTGGGTGAGTTCTTGAATATGTTTTTCTCACTCATAGTACGTGGGCATTTAACTATACCTGTTTCACTGACGCAATGAGGCTCAAATAAAGAATATACATTAAACGAAAAACATTCTATTAAAGTGGCATCTACCATCTTTCCAAGGGTAACTGATATTAAGTAACATTTGCAAACAGATGTTACCTCAATTTAGTGGGAAATAGATGGAAGAGAATATATTGGAAGATAAGGGAGATTATTTGTCCCACTTCACCACTTTCTGAAGGGGCAAGCTTGGTTTCAACAATGACTTCCTTGAACCTTGGAGAGTATTTATAACTAAAGGGAAAAGTAAAGTTGGAAACTTTAATGCTGTTATTTATTTTCTCTTTCTAATCTAGAGCTTCATTCAACACGAACAATCTCCGTCTGTATAGTGGCTCACAATTTACAAACAACATTTTCCTACGCTGTCTAACACATCCCCCAAACTTTAATATCAGAAAGAATATTAAAACCCCCATATTTTGACTTGAGCAGTTTTATCAGATCCGATGTTTTCAAAAGTACAAAACTTGAATGAATCTTCAAGACCACCTGGCACTGGCTTCCTTCCATGGCTGCCAAAAGAACACTGGGCCCTTTCCTCATGTGTAACAGTGTTATAGGACAGGGAGAGGGGGAGCAACCCTCTATACCTCCTTCACAAAATTGTTCTGTGATTAAGCAAGAACAAAGGCTCAGGGGTGAACCTACCACGTCGTTGGACCTCAAATCAATCCTCTCTTCTTGCCTTTGACAACACAGCACGAGAAAGAGTTCATTCCCACTTCACACCAGGAGAAACCCAAAGTCGAAGGTTCGGGTCCCCCGTCTCTACTTGCAACTCCGCAAGCCCCAGACCATCAGGGCAACTGCAAAGTCTCTCCTCCAGCTGACTCTGGGGTGCCGCAGGCCGCTGATAACCGCTCCCCTGACCCTCAGGAAGGCGCTCCTGAGCCTCCACCGCGCTGCAAGAACCAAGCGGCTTTCTCACCGCCCGTCACCTCACCTACAGCAAAGGCAGCATCAAAGCCTCGGCTCCATCTTGGCCGCTACGTGTGACGCCACACGCACGGCGGGCGCTGTCCATTGGCCGAGCTCGCCGCGGAGAGAGGCGCGCGAAGCCCGAGAGGAGGGTGTGCAGAGCGAGGGAACTACCGTCCCGGCCTGCCTCGCGCGCGCTGCCTCCCGAGGGCGAGCGAGGAGGGCGCTCGGTGGGGACCACAACTCCCAGCAAACCTCGCGATGCCGCTCCTGGCTTTTCAAAACGCGGAGGAAAAGGACGGAGAGCACGGAGGCCTTCTGGTGTCCGCTCTCCGAAAGGCGGGAAAGGCAAACTACACCTCCCGACGGCCCGCGCGCGCTCGCGCCTGCGCCCTGAGGCCTGTCGCCATCTTGCCCCTTCTGAGGCACAGCAAACAAACCCAATTCCTGGTGTCCCCTAGTCTTGGCGGAGGAGCCTTTTAGATGAGCCCCGAAAGGCCGGGCAGGTGGGTGACTCTCAGACAGGGTGCCGGAGCGGGCTGGCAGGTTAGCCAGGTTGGAGGGGGCGCTGCGCTAAGCATTCGGAGCCCGGCTCGGGGCGCCCAGCCCCATCCTCCGTTGTCTCCTAGCGGGATCACGGGGCTCCCCGGGTGGGCTGCGGGGGGACCCTGGCAGACCTGGTGCTGGATCCCTGGGATCCAGCCCCGGGGACCTCCCGGTGAGTCGGGCCGCCTGCCTGGCTGTCCGCGCGCCTGCTCCCTCTCCGTTGTCCTCTCCGCCGGGCGCGGGGCGCTGCTGCCGGCCGGGGCCCCCGCCGCCGGCTCGGGGTCCCGCCGCGCCCGGGTCGCGGGCTTGACATTGGGCTCGGCGCCGGGCGGCCGGGGAGCGGGGCGGGCGCGCTGCTCCTGTTGTGGCGCTGCGAGCGAGTGCGTGTTTGGGGAGGGGGCGGGGCGGGTGAGCCTCCTGACACTTGAGGGGGGGCAGGATTGTGCGAGGTCCCGGTCCCCGGAGCGGGCTCCCCGCAGCTGTGCCCGGGCTCCCGGCGCGCTGCGGCCCCGCGGCGGGTCGGCTGGCGGGGACGCGTGGGGATGCAGTGACGTGGTGCTGGATTCGGGCGGTCGCCGGCCGCCTCCAAGATCCTGTGGAGAGGCGGGGACTGGCTGGTGGAGGGAGAGGATTCCTTTGGCTCTGCCCTTCTTCCTCCTCCCCACCCCTTTTCTTTATGTCATCCTGCCGGTTGGGGCGCGCAGTCCGGTTCTCCTTGCTCGGGGTTGGCTCCTAGCTGAGAGGACGATGGGAAGTAGGGGGAGGGGTCTCAACTCTGGCCGTAGAGTTGGAGTTCGAAGCTTCGGTGCCTGGAATGGGATGCAGCAGTTACAATGAGTCAGTGCCCGCCTCCTGGACTACACCGTGAGCTCGCTCCTTCACTCACGCACGCACTCCATGTTCATCCATCCATTCATTTTATTCTCTTCAGTCACACCTTTATGCATTTAACAAATATTTGCAGCAGATCTGCAGTGTGCTAAGCAGGTAATGTGCAAGTGCCCAGTGCTATTGTCTTTTAATCCCTTAGTCCAGAGAATTTCCAGTACGAAGTAAGTTCCTGACATCTATCCTTTAGATAAATGTTTGTTTAAAGACCACAGGTGTAAATTCATCTTCAGTTGTTAAGACTTGAGCAGAATTTTTTTTTTTTATTATGTCCCACTAACCCACATACTGTGCCAGGAGTGTTACATATTTTAATTTGCGTACCATCAGGGAGAAAGCGGATAGATATCAAATAACTTGCCAAAGGTTACACCGGTTATAGCAGCTATTTACCGAACAACATACCTGCCACAATGCTAATAACTTCACATTATCATGCTCATTAATCCTTATAACAAACTGGGTGATTATTACCTCTGTTTTACAGATGTGTAAAACTTATACTCAAATAGACCAATATACACAGACTCACACAGCCAGTAAGTTGAAAGCTGGAACTAGAACCTGGAGCATCTGATTCTAAAACCTGTGCTCTTTCTACTGTCATCGGCTAGAATAATAACTTCCCAAATGGTGGTTTAGTTCTTCATTTGTCAGAAGCTGAAAATGTGCTGGTGGAGTAAGATTGGAGTATCTAATTGTTTTTACTTACGTGGCTCTTCAAGTGAGTGGCCTTTTGAATGTACTTCGGTAATTTGGTTTTTTGTTTTGATAGGGAAGACAAGCTCTTTGGGGCTACCAAAAAGAAGCAGCAATGCCTGTTGTGTGGCCAACCCTTTTGGATCTCAGCAGGGATGAATGCAAAAGGATTCTTCGAAAATTGGGTATGAGTTTATTTGGATGTCTTAATGCCTCACTGTGATACTTTCCCTTTCTGTTAGAGGCATGGCTTTTTTCCATGGATGTTATATCTCATGTTGCATTATAGATTCTTTACAGGTATAGTCCCTTTAGCATCTTACTCATTGTTTTTTCCCCAGAGCCTAGCATCGTCCTTTTTGTGCACAGTAGATGCATGAATCACGATACTAATAGCAGCTAACTATTAGCTAACTTCATCTCATTTACTCCTCAAACTGAAAAAGTAGGTTTTTTTTTTTTTTTCTGGTGCCCGTTTGCAGATGACAAAACTGAAACTTACAACTTGAGAGGTAATGCCAATAATAAGTTAGGATTTCAACCTAGGGAATATGATTTCAGTCTCACTTTGTCATACTTTTAACCTTCATGAATGTGTATGTGAATTACTATTTCTTAACTCTAAGTTAAAGAAAATTATGCTTACTTTCCCAAATTTTATTTTTCTATCAGTAATAAAACACCCTGTATGCTTGTAATGAATTATTTAGTAGTTCTTTTCCTTTAGTAATTCTTTTCCTTTCTCAGCTAACATGTAGGGAGAGAATTAAGCCATAATGCCTGGGCATACATTGTATGTAATGAACTAACTTCTTGTGCATCTGGAATGGTATTAGTGTTCATATTCCTTGGGAAATTGAGAAAAATGCTACTTTAGACTGTAAATTCCAAGAAGAACCTTGTCTTATTTACCACTGTAGTCTCAGGCTAACACATAGTAAGTACTCGGTGAATGAAATTGAAAAAGAATACTAAATATTTTGGCAGTAGATAGGAATTACTAAGATACCTATGATTTTTAAGGGGAAAGTGTGGACCTTGAGTTCAGACAGACCTGGGGTCCCAGGTTACCAATGACCTACATAATCAAGGACATGCAATTTAATCTTACTAAATTGCTTGACATTTTTATAAAAGAAGGATAATATCTGCATAGTAAGTTTGATGTAAGGATAATTGTATATAAAAAGGGCCTATCACAATGCTTGACATTTGAGTGTATAGTGTGTTAAAGCAAGCAGTTGCTTTTAAACGTAATTTATCTTTTTTTCCAAAGGAAGTCTGTGTTGGGAATTCCTGTGTAATTCAGAATCTTAGCTGTGTTGGCCCTGCCTACTAATAACCTTTGCCCCTTTAATTTCCCCTCAGGCTGCTTTGAAAATTTCTTTATTTTAAACTACTTAGTATTGTATCTTTGCATGTCCTGAGAGTTTTTTTTTTAATTTTCAGTCATTCTTTTGTTATTTTTTAAAAATCCTTTAGCCTTTTACCCATGTTTTTAGTCCTAAATTACAAATGGTTTTCTATGTGTTATGTACAATTGCTATCACTTGCTAGCTGCCAGTGATAAAGTTTGACTCATATTTCACAGCTGAAGTGGTTATGGAGCAACACATCACAACTACTGTAGATTGGTTTGGACTTCTGGGCTTGGGGGCCTTGAATCAAGAGATTATGTTTAATATAAAAATGGTAGCCTTTAAATTTAAACTAAGCCCTAATTTTAGTCCCAGCTCTATGTGTAATGCTCATGGAGAGCTGCATCTATACAAAAGAAAACAGCCTTTCTACAGGGTAATGTCATCTTCAGTGACTCTTCAGTTTGGGAGGTGAGCCTTGATAGTGATTTTGCAGAAATACTTCCTCCCCACCCATTGAATCATTATCATAACAATGGAAGCTTTGAATTGCCTTCAAACACTAGCTGTAGGTGTAAAGTTTAAAGAAGGTACTGTATTTAAGAATTAGCTTAAAATATTTTAAGAATTAGCATTGTCCTTTTGAAGATATACATCATTTTAATGTAAGATGCTAAATACTTAGATTTTACTAAAACTGGGATAATTTTTTTAACTGAACATATCAGTGTAAGAGTGATGTAAAATATAAAAACTTTCCTATGTTTTTCCTGCCTTATTTTTCTTTTTTTTTAAAATTGTTTATTTATTTATTTATTTATTTTTGTGGGACCCTCGCCGGTGGCCGGGGAACGAACCGGCGCTGCAGGGGCTGCAGGCAGCCTTGCAGCCCAGCGCTCAACCGCTGCGCCACCAGGGGAGGTCCCCTGCCTTATTTTTCTATCATCATCAAACCCTAACGTGTAGCTTTATGGACTGGTATATTTGAATGACTGATTTGTTTAAATGGAACAGATTGAGAACTTTATAAAATGATTCGGCAAATCTTTTGTTTTTCTGGGGTATTTGCTTGTGTTTGTTTCATTATACTTTTGTGTCATTAGAATTAATACTATAATAGAATGACACCAGATGTAATACCAGAAATTCAAGTGTGATATTGCAACAGGGTGGTCCCCAGGAAAGGGGGAGGTTCCCTGCCCCACCCAAGGGAGGGTGGAGCTGAGCAGCAAGAGAAGAAGCTGCAGAAGAGACTGAGGAAGGAAGCAGGATGGGGCAAGGAGACCTGGAGGAGGCACATGGAGCCTAGAGACATGTGAAGAAACTGCGCTTGTCTTTTGGGTTGTGGACTGGGTGACACAGATGTGGGTGAGACCCGTGGGGAGGTGACAATGGCAGCTTTTATCTGGATGTTGATTTTGCTCTTTTCCTTCCGGGCTTGTCCGGTTGTTTGTGACCCTTTTCTGTGGGTCCCCACTGGAAGATGTTTTAGACTTGTGGCAGGCTTTGGGGCCTTGCTCTGGGCCGACCCCATATGGATGGAGTTTTACCCACGAGGGGATGGGTAACTTTGGGTGCTTCATTTAGAAACTAGACTCTTTGCCTTACCTGTATTGTTTCCTAGTTTTTATTAAAGTTCCTTCCCATTAAAGCGTCATATGTTTTGTGTTGATGCGGCGGATGGCAGAACCCATTTAGAATAGGCAGGTTTGTGGGGGTCTGGGGTGCCCCTCTCCCTGTCCTATAACAATATTGTCAGGATATCTGAGGATACCCATCAAAATGGAAATCAACTAACATGAAGGAAGTTGGGAAACTAGTAAAGGCTCTTAACCCTGAGTTAATTTCTGGAGAAGGGGAGGAAGTATTTTGGATTGTATAGCTGTGATAACAATGTTCTGAGTCCCAGTTTTGTGTGAAATAGCGACTTCTTTTGTGCATGACTCTTTAGTTAAGACTTGGGATGGGAATTGAATGTCAAAAATTTTTATCACATTTCTTTAGTTAATTTTGCCCTTTTTAAAACAATAGTGTCCTAATCTCCACAAATTCCACAGGCCAAAACTTATCTTCCTTTTCTTTTTCCTCAAACCACTTCTCACTGACCTCTCCATTTCTTTTTTATGGTATTGCCATGCTCTTAAACATCTTGTAAACTGCAAAACCTGATTCCTTCTGCCATTCCTTTTATGTTCAATTACTGAGTCCTATCAAATAAAAACTTTTTAGAATGGAATTAGAGATTTTTCTTAGGCTGTCCCCAAACCAATTTTCTGTTTTTATCTTTTGTTCCTTACAAGTTTCCCTTGTTGGATTTTAATCACCCAGAGGATAGAGACATTGTTTTGTTCATATAAATATTTTCCATGGCACCTTATAGAAGTAATATTCAATTAGTAATTTGCTTTGAATGAGTGACTGTCCAAGAAAAAACATATTTTTACTTCTCCAAGGGTAAAATTCTTAAAACAGTCACTGACCTTTACTGAAAGTTTGATGTCTATATGAAACATCTGCTCTTTCTCTATGTTCCTTTTGCACATTTGTATCCCCCAGCCCCCTCTCCCCCCTCCCAGCATTGTTCTCTTTCTGCTAAAGCTTATGCTTCTACACTAAATGATGTGTTTTTCTCTGTCTTTGCACTGTATTGTAAACTGTATCATAATTGTCTGATGATTTGCTTCACTGTAGCCGTATTCTAGAGTTAACTTCTTAAGGACAGGATTTAGTATACTGAATATATATATACATTCAATATTTGTTGGTTAAAATATTCCATAAATGGGACACCGACATTAAGAATACAGTAAATTCTTAGTTGATCATCCCTTGTTCTTTCTGAACTCTACTTTAGGTCCTGTTAAAAGCTGAAATGTTTCTCTTAGAACTAAATATTTACTTCACTATTGCAGAGCAGCAGAACTTTCTCCTTCCAGAGAGACACCATAAGACATCTGTATAGAATCCAGCACAGATTGAACATGCATAATGTTTGCACATGGGATAATTCAGTTGAACCAGATATTTCTATATAATTTAGTCAGCTCACTCTTCTATATAAACATGTTTTGTTGACAGTCAGAAATGTAAATAATATGACCTGCATGAGGCTACTAGTTTTTTATTGGTATAGTACCTAATATGGAGGGGTACATGCCTTCATTATTTGGCTAACACTGATTGTTGTCTGTCAGGCCTTGGCAAATAGCAAATACTATTAGCAATTTAAATTGAGTAAGGAGATAACTAGTCTGGACAATTACTTCCTTTAATTTTGCTTAGATATACTTGTTTCATAGTGTTAATGGTTAAAAAAAAACTATTATTTCTCATGGCTCCTTGGTTTCTTGGTCTTGCCTGAACCCTTTCATGAGCCTGTATTCAACTGCTAGCGTGGCTGGTAGACTGTTCTCTACCGAGAGAGCCGTTCATCCTGGCCTTACTCACAGCTTGGTGATCTCTAGGTTCCAGGAGGACAAGAGCATACATGTATCATGTATGCTGACGTTCCACTGACTAAAGCAAATAATGCCAAGCCAAAGTCAGGTAGGAGGGGACTATACAAAGATAGTACACAGGAGTACACTAGGAAGCTGTGTTTGTTGAGTGCCATTGAGGACTTTGTGGTTCTGTATTTTAACTAGACCTATGGTCTGACAGTTTCAGTAAGCAAATTTCATAATGGTTGTTGCTGTGGAAAGACAGTGACATGAGACTGTTTGGCATTAGGATTCAGGATTTTAAGTCCTAGTTGCTGTAAGAGCATTTCATGTTCTTTAATTGATCTTTGTCATTTTGATGGTGGTTTTTGTAAGACTCAGATCTTGGATCTGGAAGGTACCTTCAAAGTCTCTTGTAGATAAAGAAATTGAAGCTCAGGGATGAAAAAGAATTTGCCCAAGGTCACACAACTAGTAAGTGGCAATCCAGAAACAGATTTGGAACTAGAATCTGGCCATTTGACTCTTGTTCCAGTAGTGTTCCATTTGCCCAGTTCTCATAGGACTCAAATTTACCTAGGATAGAGGTGAAATATAGTTTGAATTCTTTTTTTTAATTTAATTTAATTTATTTATTTAGATTTATTTATTTATTTATACAAGCACTGGGTACAGTCAGAAGCGCGGGAGGGTGAGAGAATTCACCAGAGCCAGAGCGGGAAGCAGAGCAGGCAGAAGGACCGAAGTACACTGCTGAGGGGAGCAGCGGGCTGGCTGCGGGAGAGGTCTGCGCACCATGTGGGCCCCTCCTGCGGTGGCCGACAGCCGGGGATTGAACCGGTGCTGCAGAGCTGCAGGCAGCTTTGCAACCCAGCGCTCAACCGCTGCGCTGGCCGGGGAGCAGCCGGGGATTGAACCGGTGCTGCAGAGCTGCAGGCAGCTTTGCAACCCAGCGCTCAACCGCTGCGCCACCGGGGAGGCCCTAGTTTGAATTCTTAAGCAAGCCTAAGGGAATTTTTTTATTTCAAGGATTGGTTAGTGAAGGTATCTTTCAGTGATGCTAAAAATGTCTCTTAACAGCCTTATTCTATCATTTTATTTTATTCTATGATAGAGATTTAGCTTAAGCACTAAAGATTTCAATTTGAAGACTGGTATTCATTTTACTAAGTATTTATGACTGGGATGGGTGTAGTCTTATTTTGTTTGGTATGTTTAGTTGTTAGTGGTAGCAATTGAGTTAAATTTTCTTCAGTGATACTTTGTGAGATAAAATAAGGTATTTCTACCTAAGTATATGACTTCTGCAAAGCAATAAAAAGTAAAATTATAAAATCCATATTTTAATCTATGCTAGTAGATACAATATTTGAAAGGAACTAAAAAATATTTGCTTACTGATTTTTCTCCAAGTGATTTTTAGATTTGTTGCCCTGCACCTTCAATATATGTAGCTATTGTATTACTATATTAAAGATATATGTTGACAAAATAATTTTCTTCTTCTAGAATTGGAGGCGTATGCTGGAGTTATCAGTGCACTTCGGGCACAGGGAGATCTCACCAAGGAAAAGAAAGATCTTCTTGGAGAACTCTCGAAAGTTCTTAGGTAAATGATCATAAAGTTTGTGAGATACAACTCTAGAAATTAAATTTTGAGGAATTTCAGTATATTTCACTTTGAAGTTGAAGGACAGAGGTTTTCAAGTGCTTGGTGCTCAGTGATCCCATCCCAGCTGTGTGTTTTGTTATAGAAAATCATGTAACTTACCACTTATACTATAATCTTACAAGAAAGGATTTAAGGCAGGTTATTTTAGATTTAGGCCATCTGGGAAAGGGAGGTATTTTTGACATTGGGAAAGGAAAGGAGAGCTGAGAGCATTTTGATGTGAAGATACAGAGTGACATTTATTGGGAGAAAGAAGGAATACTAGGAAATTGTCTTAATTTGTAGAAATAGGTAGTGTTTGTATAGTCAGAGCCTTAATTATAATTTACCCTTTAACTTCCCACTAGAGTGGCACTTGAGTCCATTAAGAAATTTTAGTGACCTAGGTTCTTTGATACTTTGTCTTAATCCATTCTAATATATTGAGCTTTCTCAGAAAATTTTCTGTTTAAACTGGTTTTCTTTATATATTTAAAACCATTTTCCTATTTTTAAGTAAAGATAGGGAAGAGACTCTTCCTATATTTAATTAGCATTAATATAGGGTCATTGTTATTAAACCAAATCTTCAGTCTTATTGCCTTGATATTTAACAATTTCTCTTTTTTGTTTATTTTCTTATAAATTCTGCTTTCTAATCTTTTAAATATTTTATCGCACGGTATAGATATAGCTTAAGCATTAAAGATTATAATTTGAAGAGTGGTATTTATTTTATTAAGTATTCATGAATGGGAATGGGATGGGTGCAGTCTTTTTTCAGTTCAGTATTAACTTTACATGAATTGAATCAAGAACAGTATAAGTACATTTTTACCATAGCTGTAACATGATACAGTGTAGAAGACACACAGCTGAAGTGTTGAGTAACAAAGGAGTAATATCCTGGTGTCAAGTTTCATAGCTTATAGCCACAGGAAACAGATTATCTCCCCACTTTCATTTCTTACATTCACTAAACAATGTATCCTCTTAAGCTTTAGGAAGGACTTTAGAAGACTTTGTTCTGAGTGCCTAATTCCACTTCTCAGTAACCATGGTTGGAGGTCATTCAGTGGCTGATACACAGAGACCTCTTACAATCTTGAACATAGTCTGATGTTTCTGAGTTTTGGAAGTAATGGCTTTATATAAAGGTGAATTTGTCTTCCTGTGATTTCTAATTTACAACTAGGTCTCCCTGCATTTACACAGAGTCAGTGTGATTCCTTTTCTATGCCCTTAATTAAAGCCTTTGAGGATATATATTAGGTCCCTGTCTATATCTTTACAAGTCAATCTTATTTCTATTCCCCCCATCAGAATGTTCACTTTAACATTAATGAAAGTATAGAAAAGAGCTGCCTGCTTGGCAGAGTTCTATAATGGCTATTTTTTTTCATAGCATCTCAACAGAACGCCACCGTGCTGAAGTTCGGAGAGCAGTAAACGATGAACGGTTAACAACAATTGCACATAAGTAAGCCATTAGTCATACCACCCCTGATTTTTTTTATGACTTAGTGTAATAAAGTTTTGAAAACAGTCTTACTATTGTGTAGCAGATTCCTGAGTTTTAATTTTAATAGTAATATCTCTATACTCAGGAATCCTGACCATACAGATCTTAATTGTTTATTCAGTTGGTAATGTTTTTGCATTTGGTTAGGCAAGCTTTAAGGACTTAGGTCAAATCTTGTTACAATGTAATCTCTGTATAACTAAAGGCCATCACAGCTTAGCAGATGATTCACTTACTTGAAGCAAAGTTCAGTAAAAAAATAGTGTGCTCCTGGAATTTGCCAGCCCCTTAGAGGTTCTTTGTAATGTTATTTGACATGTGCATTGCTTTATAAATAGGCATTATTAATTTTTCGATAACTGACTCAAATATTTCTTGTATTTTGAGATTCAGGAAAAAGATTGTAAACTGTATATTTTGCTTTTAAGACATGGATAGGCAGCATTTTAATTCATTTTTAAAAAGCCAGTAGTAAATTATAGTGTATTCTTATCAAATTGTTTTCAAATCATTATAACTATTTCACAGATGAGGTGGAGGGTGGTGGAGGATTCAGGGCAGGGATCAAGCCTTAATAGAATGTGTATGGAGACAGTGCCTCCTAAAGAATAGACAGGCATTGAAATTACTCTTTAAATGTTAATGCAAAAATGGTAGGAATATTTCATAAAATAAGGTTTGTTATAGTATAATTCATTTGATATTTTTATATTTTAATGTGAAATAAAACTAAAGGAAAAATTCAGTGCATTTGTGTAATATAATAAATAGTATATTTAAACCAGTTGGCAGTATTCGAATTGACCCTAAAGATCTATTCGCTTCATGTTTGATTCACTGTTCCTCATTTTACTTAACTTATAAAATGGGGAGCTATCGTTTTAACTATGTAGTTTAAAAGTTTAGCTATTTGAATTGTGAGATTTTTCAGGGGCAGGTATGTATGCATTATAAACATTTTTGCAATTTTCCATCAGAGACAGTATTTAGTTGTCAGGCCAGCAATGGTTGAAATATTCAAATATTGTGTTCCTGCTTTAATTTGCTCCAAACATTTGAATTGAGATGCTCTAAAAATAACAGTCTTATTTACTGGCGAACTGGTAATAGTCAACGTAAATGCCAGATAATAAAGTAGTAAAAGATAACTGACATTCAGAGGCACTTTAGGGACAAAATTAGTACTTTAAAAGCATTGGAACAATATTGTGGGGCAATTAGTTTTAAGTTGATGCATCAGTCATACTTAAAGGATAACATTTATTTAGTTTCCTTTTCCTTTTTTCCCCTTTAAAGAATGAATTTATCCTTATATTTGGGTGAAAGACCAAGTTACAGGTATGCAAATAGGTTATTATTATTTCAGGCTTTTTCTTGTATTTATTTCAAAATTGAAGCTCTCAATTATTCAAGGGCACATACTCCATTTACAATTAAATTGTGCCTCTGCTTTTCCTTTTCTTCCCCTCCTCCCCCTCCTAATACTGCCCACCCTTTAGTCATGTTGCTGCTTTGAGTACCTCTTGTCAGAGGGTGGGAAGGGAGAGGAGGTGAAATTTTTAATTAGTCGTTTTGCTGCTTAGTAGTTGTCTTGGAAGAGGTCTGGTGTCAGAATTTACAAGTATTTGCCAAAGTATATTTCGGTGATATGTGGGGTCTTTAATCTGTTTGACCTCTCCCTTGCCCTCCTCCCTCTATTAGCATGGATAATTGAGAGTTGGCTTTTATCTACCTGTGTTTCCTCTTTTTATCTCTTTCTGATTTCTTTAATACACGAATTTAATTTTTTGAAAAAACTTTACTTCAATATATAATTTTAAACTTATTAGATCTATTCATGCTCCTGTTTTAATATTTTATATTGTGGTTTTAATTTGACCAGATGTAGTTACTTATTGAGGCTTGGGGCCAGAAAGTGGGGAACGGTGAGGAAGGCTTAGATTCCGCATTTTCTCCATCTCCACCGCCCTCTTTCCCTCAAACTTAGCCACAGAACCTAGTTCCAAAGTGTATAGAAGGGTTTCACACTTTGAGCCTGTAAAATAACTCCAGAGGGAAGGAGGAATGCATAGGAACTGAATGCATTTCCCCTTCTCCTCCTCCTTCCCTCCCCCACTCAAACCTGCCCCTTAGGCCTGAAGGAATGTGGTTGAAAGGTGAAGAGAAAGCCAAGAAGATTGAGCACAATGAGGTAGAAGAACAAAAGGAGTGTGGAGAGTCTGGGATCACAGAAAAGCCTTGCTTTTTGTGGCTTGAAGCATCACACATTTATTATTTGGCACCAGGCCATTTATTAAGTTTCATACTCCAGTTTTGAACCATGTCAGAATATTATAGTGTTAAAGCCTAGAATGTCAATAGACTTCCAAGTTTTTATTGGGCCACTCTTGTCAATATTGTCACTAGAGTTTGAAAGTAACTATCTGGAATGACTGTTTTCTTAATCCCTTCCCCATCAGCCATACATTCATAGGATACTGTGTATTTCTTTGTGAGGCGAGAATTTTTTGCTGCTGCCTGAACACCAAAGGATGTGAGGGCTACAGTAGTTTTGTTATTGTCATGTTAGATTTCTCAGAAAAGAAATTGGATGGAGCAAGGTTTCTACCCTCCCTTGCCAAACTTCATATAAACAGAGAGGTGTTCTTACACTGAAATTTAGGTGTTCCAGGAAAGCCCTGGAGTAAGATCTTTACAAAATTTTGTAAAATTCACTTTAGATGATTTGGGTGACTAATGCATATCTATACTCTTAATACTGAGCAAATAGTAATTTTTGATCAAGTTCTAACATACAATCTTTCACTAGAAGAATCTGAGCGTGTTTCAATGAGTAGAAATTTGGAAGACTTAAAGATCTTCTGAAAAGTTGCAGCTATGTCTTTTTTCTGTTTTGTCAATAGCATATGTTCATGTGTTTTAAGTATTACTCTTCCATAATTTCTGCCATTACTTAAACAATTAACCAGATAAGTGTAGGACTTTGTTTAGTAAACTCTCACCAAACATGTTTATTAGTGATATTCTAATAAATAATAGCAAAATAGGAGTAAGCCAAGAAAATACTAACCAGCTTTTACAGTTTTCCCTGACAATTAGCCCTTTTCTATCTCTCTCATTTATACCATTCTCTGTTTTAGAACAAGCATCAATGTGGAAATTATGTAGTAATAAATTTGTGACGGTTATTGGGGTCTCAGAAACTCATCTTTCCCTTGTTTTATGCAGGGATTTATTAAAGCTTGAAGAAAGATGCAGTATTTCCCCCAGTAACTCAGTTAAATTAATTAACCCCTACAAATTCTTTTCTGAACTGACTGTAAATCCTCCAGTTATAATCTATTCATTCCATCTAGTAAAAGTGGGTAGCTATTAGATAGTAGTGTCCAGTTAGTACAAATCTAAAACTAAAGCTCAACATGGAATATTTTTATACTTTCCACTTATGATGTGGTGAGTAATTTCAGTATGTTGTTAAAGGAAGCATAAATTGTAGTAAGTGTGTGACCACAGGCAAGCCTTAGTTAACCTTTTAGTGACTCCAGTGACTTTCCCTAACTATGAAATGGCAATAATGATATTACCAATTTCATAGGATTATTGAGAGAATTATAAGAGTTAATACATGAACAATGTTTAAAACAATGCCTGGCATATAGTAAGTGCTTAACTGGTGTTAATTGTCGTTCTCATCACCATCATCATCATTATTCCACTATTCACTGACAAGGGCTTTTATGTACTTTACCTAAATCTGAAAAATCAGTGGACATACAGAGTCTTAAATTCTAGGTTAGGTTGTAAATGTTTGATTTTAAAAAGGGTGCAGAAATATATCCATTTAGGGAAGAGATTGATGAGTTCTGGGTGAATTTTAAACCTCAACATTAATCATTAGGAGAAGTGACACAATTACTTTTTCTGGAGCCAACTCAAGAGAAGTGATACAGCTGTCTTTTCATATTTCAACTTCTGTTTGGATTCCTGCAATAAAATTTGCTTAAGGAGTTTAGAGTATAGAGAGTGAGAATAGTGTCTGTTTAGGAGTAGAGTTTATTAGCAGAAATGCATTCTATTAGAGTGAAGGGTAGTATAAATAAAGTAGTGGCAGGTTTCTTCCAGTGTCCTCAGATGCAGTCTATTTATTTTATATTAATAGGAAGGATAACAATTTATAAGACATTGTCAGTGAAAAATGAAGTTATTGTGAACACACACACACACACACACACACACACACACATATATCACACACACACAGCCTTTTTATCTCTCAGTACCTAGTTTCTCTCGTTTACTGCCTCATTTTCCCTTATTTGAAAGCCTTAGAACCTCTGGCCATGCAGGCAATTAGAAATTTTGGAAAGGATCAGTGATTTATCTCATCCTTAATTATTACAGAAAACCTGATTGTAAAGGTTATGAATACCTTTTGCATTTTTGATCTGATCGCAAAATTAACTTCTAAATGTTAGTAGAAAGATCAGTTTTCGTTAGCCATAACACTGGATTTAAACTAATAAGATGGATGTTGATTTTTATTTAGAAGGCATGAAAACATTTTTCAGAGTTTCAATTACATTTATTAAGATTCAGATTATAGAATAAAATGTGTAAGAACCTAAGTGTATGTGAAATTCCTTGAATTCTAATTATTCATAATTTTGATCTTGCTTGCTTATAATAAATAAAGCCTCTCCTATTCACTCAGGGTGCTTTTAATGGTTTAAAAGTTGTATTTGAGAAAATGTATGGATTCATTTTCATGATTGAGAGCCTTTGTAGCAGCATTTTCTTTTTTGTTTAGTATGTCTGGACCTAATAGTTCTTCAGAATGGTCCATTGAAGGTCGTCGATTGGTACCACTGATGCCCCGGCTGGTTCCCCAGACCGCCTTCACTGTAACAGCTAATGCTGTTGCCAATGCAGCTATCCAGCACAATGCATCCCTTCCAGTGCCCGCGGAAACAGGAAGCAAGGAAGGTGAGTAGAAAAATATTTCTGTATGAAGAGATGACTTTTCTCATATTCTTCAAGAAAAGTCTTATTTTTCATGTTTTTATTCAAATGTGTGAAGGCTGCAAATTATAGTGAGCAGCTCTTATTCTGAAACTGGAGATTACCAAGTCTCAGCCAAATTTAAATCTCTGTTTTGTTCAAAGTATGAATTATATTAATCAAAAAATTGCAAAAGCCCTTCTTGGAATGAATTTTTGACATCAGTGTATCTGATAGGAGTGCATAGAAGGCCTTAATAGGTGACATGGAAAATAAATAAGGTGACTGAAGTCATATAACAACTGGAAAAAGATGCTGAACTGGTACTTCAGAAAATAAAGCTCTTTTATTGTCTTCTGGTATCAGTGTTACATGCTGCCTCTGTGTTTTAATTAATGAGCTAAATCCATCAGGGATTAACTAGCAGATGGAGAGGCTTTCTTACTGTTACATAATTAGTAAAATTGACACAAGCTTTAAAAATCCTTAAATTCTCCTGAGGTTACCAACAGTAATATTAAATTAGAGCGCACGGATTTGGATTGACTTTAGTAGTAGTTTAGTTGGTGTTGGATGAAAATGACTGAAAATACAGCTGTCAGATTACTTTTCTTTATTTGTCCTAATATTCTTGCCTATTAGTGGGCGGTGGAGCAGAGTGAGACACACTTGTCATACATGTCAAACTCTTTTAATACGATCGAAGCTTATGTTTAGAGAAGGCCAATTATTAGTGTACAAACTTGGCCATTTTTGTTTGTTGTAGGAGATGTATCTTTCTTCGCTTCCACTTTTATCTTTTCAACCCACCAACTCTGGAGAGAGTGGAAAGAATAAAGAATTTTCAATAGTCAAATCTATTTGAACCTTAGTTTGCTACTTCCTAGCTATGTGACCTTCAGCTAGTCTTTCAGCTTCTGTTAGACTTGAGTTCCTCATCTTTGAAATGAGGATGTGATGTTCTGAGAATTAGTGATACATGGAAAAGATTTAGCATAGACATGGTACTCAGTAAATGGTGCTTATGACCTATTATTGCTATTGCTTTTATTCAAGAAATTGGACTATAATGTTGTCGGTCTTTAATTGAGTTATTGTTACATTGTTTGGATGGCAAATGACTTAATAAGTTGATTTATACAGTAATTAAGGAACCTTGCCCCTAGTGGCCAACTTGGAAATTGCTATGGTTAGGGGAAAATGATCCATCACTTCATCACTGGTGCTGCTCTTAGTAGTAAAATAGAATCCAACTATGACTTTTATTTTCCTCACTATAGTTTTAATTGATTTCTTTGTAACTGTGCTCTTATCCATTGGCAATGTCACCTGTAGACAGCTGCTAACTACTTGGGGAGAACCCAGTTGATGATTTTCAGGGAAGTATTAGGTGTTAGGTCCACAGGTGTTAGGTATTAATAACCTTTAAACCTGTGACCCTAACACCTAGGACTGGTCTCTAACTTGATCACATGAAAATGTTAAATTTGGCCTGCAATAAAAAATAATTTTTCTGTATGCGTGGACAGTTTTGGTGAAAGTTAACAGCACACTTTTTTATCGTTCCTTCAGTAGTGGTTTGCTATTCCTACACAAGTACCACGTCAACCCCAACCTCTACCCCTGTTCCAAGTGGCAGCATAGCAACGGTTAAGTCTCCAAGACCTGCCAGTCCTGCCTCCAATGTAGTTGTCTTGCCAAGTGGAAGTACTGTTTATGTCAAAAGTAAGTGATATTCTCAGTGTTATCAGGTCCATCATGGCTAAATGCTGCAGCATTGGCTCTGATTAGATCTACCTTTCTGGATTAAATCACTGGTCCACTGGCTATTGGCAGTGGTTAGTTTTGAATTGAAGGTTCTAAAGAATTCGTTTCTTTCCATGTACGAGGTATATATTACCTTTTCATCAGTTCTGGGGGTTGAGAAATTACTTCTTTTTTGTTCTTTGTGAGGAATCTGCCTTGAGCAGTGTTATCCTTCCTTCCAAGTATTCACTTGTTTTGTCATGGAATAGAAATGTGAACAGAAATGGAAGGAATTATGCTTACATTGACTTATACAGTAATTATAATCTTGAGGTGTTTTCTTAAGTTCTAGATCATCCAACTGTTAGGTTCAATGAGGCATTCTAGAGTCCATCTTTATTTTTTAGTTGACTGTAATTTTTTGAAGTTATATATGCAGTTTTTAATCCCTTAATTCTATCCTGTTGAAAGTTTGATGTCTAGTTCATTTTTTTTGTTTTTAATGTCTGTTATGTCATTATTGTTTTACTTTTGATGTCAACTGGACATCATTAATGTTTGATTTTCATTTTTCTCGATGTACTTATAAACTTGATTTCTTTGAACTATAGCAGTGGACTTTGTTGTTTCAGACAGGAATGATTCAGGCCATCATCAAGCTCGTTTTAAATTAGAAACTAAAAACTCAAGGTGTAAGGAGTTAATTTTATTATCAATTCCATGAGTCATGCTGTATACTTTCTAAATAGCTGCTCTGTAGGCATTTCCTATGTATGCTGCTAGGTTTTATGTTTTTCACTTTGTTTTTTAAAAGTCTACAAAAACATTTGAGACTTTGGTGCACAAGGAAAAAAGAATCTGGGATTGTTAATCTTATATCTGATTTCTTTGGATTTAGCAGCGTAGTCTTCTAAATTATTTGTGGAGATCCATTTTTGGATCTTTTTTTAAAAACATTGATAATTTTTTTAAGACATAGAAAGTGACCCCTAAATTTGAAGAAGCTGTTTCATATAATAGGTAGTTTGAAGTAACAGGTAGTTTATTACTTTGTTCCTAGAAGGTGCACAGGCAACATTACTTTGATCATTTATTCACCTAACTTCATAAATTAAGGTACTGTGCTAGTGAAGCAAACCAATATGACATAGTCACTGCCCTCTGGGAGCCCCTTAATGGGAGATGTGCAGACTGACAAGCACATTGTCAAGGGGTAAGTGATAATGAAGAGAATGTACAGAGTGTTTTATAAGCTCAGAGGAGACATAGATTAGCTTTGCTTAGAGGACTAAGGGAAAGCTTCATTGAAGAGATGTCTTGCGGGGTAATGATTTTGGATGATGAAGAGATCATTGATGAGAAGTGGTGTTCCTCAAAGAACAATAGTATATGGAGAGTCCAGATGGATAGGCTCCAGTAAGGTGGCTTTGGGAAATGGAGAACATTTCAGTCTGTCAGGAGTATAGGGGTTTTGGTGGAACAGGGTATTGTGGTTTTGGAGAGATAAGGAACCTTGAGTGATAGAGTAATGATTTGTGCCTCATCTTGGAGTGAGATAAAAACTACTAAAGGGTTTGAGGTAGAGTATAGGCATGATTACATGTGAAATGTTTTAACTGGTAGTAGGTTGGAGGATAAAATAAAAGTGGAGGAATTGGAAGTATACCTTTTTAGAAGTTGTTAACAGAAATAACAGGCAGGAGGCCTGATATAGATATAGGGTCAAAGATAGGGGAGAAGACATTTCAAAAACTATTTCTTTGAAATAGTAGAAGGTAGATAGGACTTATTGTCTGATGGGTACCATGCAAAATGAGATGACACAAATTTTAAAATAAAGTATACAATGCACCGTTAGATTTGTGTAAACATTATGATATTGTCATTGCTTTCAGGTGTTAGTTGTTCAGATGAAGATGAAAAACCCAGAAAACGAAGGCGAACAAACTCTTCTAGCTCCTCCCCTGTTGTCCTGAAGGAAGTTCCAAAGGCTGTTGTTCCAGTCTCAAAGACCATCACTGTGCCTGTGAGTGGCAGTCCCAAGATGAGCAACATCATGCAGAGCATTGCCAACTCCTTACCACCTCATATGTCTCCTGTGAAAATAACATTTACCAAACCATCAACACAAACAACAAACACAACAACACAGAAGGTATGTGGTATAGAGGGACTCCTGCCTGCCAATTGCTGTTTCCATTTCTTTCAGTCAACATAATTCAGGTTTAACAAACACTCACTGAGTGCTTACTATGTGCTTGGCATTATGCTGGGAATGTTCACATCTCTTTAATTCTGCACATGAAGCTTTGAAATAGGTATTCTTTCACTTTTGTAGGTGGGGCTTAGAGGTGTCAAATGATTTTACCCAAAAGGACAAAACTGCCAGATCTACTTTTCAGACTTCCATTCTATTTTATAGTTGTGGTGTTGTTTGGAAGAAAATTAAAATATAAATATTTTTATCCTGTATTTGAATAACTTTAGGAACTCCATTTTTACTTGGCCAGGTAACAAAGTTGTCATTTAGGTGTTTCGTAGAAGAAAGGAAGTGTATGATGGAATAATTATTGTTACCATCTTTTGTTCTTCTTTGTATGCTATCATTAATTCATTCCTAAACTCTTTTCTCAGCATGTTCAAATCATTATTATTCTGTCAATTTTATGTTATTAGAATCCTGTAATTTCCCACACTAATCTGGATGCCGATGGCTCTCTATAAACTTGCTATATACCTGGGATGTCCCTTAGTTGTCATTCTGATCTTCCTCTTCCTTAGTTTATTTACTCTTTTGCTGCAGCAGTTTCTAGTAGTTTCTTGGTGAAAGGGTGGATGCAAAGTAAATATTTTGAGACCTTGCATGGTAGAGACTGAAAAGTTTTTTATTCTACTGTCTCACTTTTTTAATGGTTTAGTTAGATAAATTATTAGAGGTTGGAAGTTATTTTCTTTTAGAAGATATTGCTTCATTGGCTTCTGACTTCCAGTAGTTCTTTTGAGAAGCCCAGTGTCATTCTAACTTCTGATCCTGTTCTTCATTTTGAAAACTCTTAGTAGCTTTCAGAGTTCTGGAATTTCAAGTTAATTTTCTTTGGTGTGATTCTTGATTTGTACACTCAGGGGCCTTTCATTCTAGATACTCAAGTTCTTCAAATTTGGAAAATTTCCTGGATTATTTGATTTTTTTCTGTTCTCTCATTTTGAACCAAGCCATATTCAGGTTGTTGAACTTCCTGGATTGATCCTTTAATTTTCATGTATTTTCTGCTATTTTCCATCTGTTCCCAATTTCTTTCTAGCAGATAATCGTGGTTAAAGCCCTACATTTTTGCATTACAATTCAAATCCTACCTTTTGTCAATTACCAGTTATGTGACTGTGGGAAAACTAAATGTTAGACCTAAGTTTTCTCATTTGTAAATAGGGGAAATAGTATATCTGTTTTGTCAGAGGTTTGGGGCTTAGAGAAACAAGATATAAATATAAAACTGTTAGACTAGAGCCTAGCACATAGTACATGTTATCAGAGTATTATTTCTTTATCCTTTAACTTTATTCTTTTAATTTCTACTAGCTCTTTTGTTCTCTGAAAGTTCCTTTTCTTAAAAAATAGCATCCTGCTCTTTCATAAATTCATGATATTCTCATGATAATCGGTTTTTAATGATTTCTTTCATGTTTTCTCCTTTACTTGTGATTTCCTTTAATCTATTTGTTTTGATCTCTGCCTTTCAATTTCAGAGTTTCCTTAAATGCTGGCTGTCTGCTTATATACAAAAGTGGGCACTAAATGGCACTAAAAAGCTGACAGAAAAAGATCTTTCCGTTTAGTGAAACATGTTGGTTGGCACTAGCTGGATGTTCTGTTGAGAAAACAGCCACTACTCCTACAATTCTACCTGTTGTCATTCTCATGTAACTTTTTCGTGGGCTGGTCAGATTCCTCAAAGAATTGTATAGTCTCCTGTCTAGAGTAGTAAGTCTGTCTACTAGTATTTTTGGAGTAAATGGAGACAGAGGGCTGAATATACCATTAAGTGTATACGCTTTTCTTAACTTTTGTTTTCAGCATAGCACCCACACCCCTCATCCTGGTGTCACATCAGATTCCCTTGAATTCATTCTTTTCCTCAGAAAACAAATTCCTGGTTTGTTTACATGGGAGAAAATAGCGGAGGATCTAAATATTTCTTAGATTTTTAACTAATTTTCCTCTCTATTTCTACTTTTATACTACTTCAGAAATATATTACCTTTCAATTCCTAAGTCTTTCTGGGGTTCTCTGATGCAAGTTGTCTTGCTTGTCCTTCTGTATTGGCATCTTAGGTTTCCAACTTCTTGAGTATGCTTGGTCAGTTACTACTAACTAGTCTGTCTGTTTTCTGATTTCCAAAATTTATGGCTTTCATCTTTCCATTTTGATCTTATGGGCTTATGTATTGCTTCCTTTAAAAAAAGAATTCCTTATACTGTTTAAGAGGGATTTGGGGGATGTTCCATGTATGGTCTTTTCTACCTTTGAATCCTCAGGTTTATTATAACTTTAAAAACCTCCTAGGGCCTCCCTGGTGGTGTAGGGGGTTGAGACGCAGCACTGTGGGGCTGTCTGCAGCCACTGCAGCGTGAGTTTGATCCCCGGCCAGGGAGCTGCCCATATGGTGCTGCGGACCTCTCCCGGCTCGCCCGCTGCTCCCCTCAGCAGTGTGTTTCAGTTGGTCTGCTTGTTCTGTTCTCCACTCTGTCTCTGGTGAGTTCTCTCACCACCCCCCCCCAACACTTCTGGCTTGTGCCCCAATTCTTATGTGCGTGAATAGATAAATCTTAAAAAAAAAAAAAAAAAACCAAAAAAAAAAAAAAAACCCTTCTAGATTTTCCTGGAAAGATATTATTATATAATATATAAAAAAATAACATTTTAATCAACAAACCAGTAATGGTAATGGGCTGATCTGTGGTATATATTTCTATTTTCAGTGTTATGGTGAGGGAGTATGGTTAGTGTTAAAATTGAGCAAGAATTTTTGTGGTCAGAGAGGCCTGGATTGGAACCCCAACTCTTCTAGTATGACCTAAGATACAGTCTTTCTAAATATGTTCACTGATTGTGATATGAGAATAATGTCAGTCTTATATATGGTTATTGGGAGGATTAAGTAAGGTTGGGTATTTTAGAGTGCGGCATAAGATAGGTACTCAAAAAATGTTAGCTCCTTTCCTTTCCAGGTATTTTATGGAAAGCAGTGTTTTATTTATTTACATTGTGAATTCATTGTTAACTGAAGCTTATCCCTTAATATACAGAAATAGACTATGTTGTATGTTATAAATTGTAGAAATAGATTATAGGGCTGGGCCTGCCCTGTATTGGGTGCCATCAGCCTGATATACTTTGCAAGTTTTTAAGTCTATTTACGTTAGTTTTTTTATTACCTTTGCTGGCTCTTATTTTATAGTAATTCTCTTTTGCCTGCGTCTCATCTATTCTTCTAATTTGGTATTTGAGGAATAGTGGAGAGAAGTTTTAGTTAAAAGAGCACCCACCTCCTATCCATGTCCTTATATTTCCTTACTTTGTTTTATTTTTATTCATTATACTTAACCACTAGTTGACATATTACCTATTTATTTTCTATTTCTTCCATAGACTAAGTTGTCAAGAATACTTTGTCATATTCATCACTAGATTCTCCTTGTGTTTGGAACAGTGCCTGGCATGTAGTAGGTGCTAATTAATATTTGTTGAATGAATGAATGAATGAATGAAATTATAAATGAATAAAATAGGTCTGGTTTCAGTACTGACTTCGGTCATCTTTCTTCAGCCTCAGCTTCCTTATGAAACGCATTATAATAGTACTTACTTCCCAGAGTTATCAGGGTAATTAAATGTGATGATTCATGGAAAGTGTTTAACCTAGTGCACGCGATGAATGCTTGGGAAATATCACCTAACGTTATTAATTTTCCAGTCATCTTTGGTAGACTTACATGAAAATACTTCGATAGCTGGGAATTCACCTGTAAGCTATGTTGGTGAACTTTTTTGTTTTTTGATTCATCGACTTTACTGTATCTTTATTTTTGTTTTTTCTTTTGAACTTATCAATTGAGTATGGATCATTGACTCATCAGACTTGTGATGGTTTTTGTAAAAGGACTTATCTCCAAAGTCATGTAGGTACCATGTGGTGGAATTTTAGGTTCAGCACCTTAGATTTGTCCTACTGTGTTTTAAAAAAATGAGCATTTAAAACAAATTAAGCAGAACTCATTCATTCCACAAATATTGATTCAGTATCTACTGTGTTCTAGATGCAAAACTATATTCTTATTTAATGTGTACCCAGTGCCATTAGTTTTATTGTTTCTTGGACAAGCTAAGTGTGGGTAGGACTAATAGATATTCTTTGGGATTTTTCTGTTTTTTTTTTTTTTCCCTTTTGATGGGTAATTGGATTTTTTTTTAGATTGCTATACCGTTACCATTATTGTATTTACTTTAGATTTTTCCAAATCCTATGTAATTTAATTTAGGAATTATTTTAGGTAAAGTAACTTTTACATTATAAATAATTATGAGTTTGTGAACTTGATGCAAATTAAGATAGGTCGTATATTTTCAGGGTAGACAAATTTCCACCTATGTTAATGTGGTGCCTTCATTTTAAGTATAACATTGGTACAGCACTTATATAAACAAAACAACAGAATATAGCTTTATGCTTTCACGTGCTTGATTGATATTTTTCATTTTATCCTTAGGGTGCAAGTCCCAGCACTCTTAAGGAGTTTTTGTGAGTGCTAGAAGGTCAGTAATTTGAATTATGGCCTGAATAAACACTGTTTGATTCACTTGGTTTCAAAATTACTTCACTTGCCCTGTCATAATAAGTAACTTTAAAGTACAAGTAAATTTTCTTCAAGGTGGATCTCTATTTTGGATAACCCCTTTTCAGATCAGAGAAGTCATTTTGCAGCCTGAAATTTCAAAATATATTTTATCATTTGTATCTATAACCTAAAACTGCTCTGAAAGACTATAGATTTACTTTACTGAAATTTTGTTGTCTTAATGTTAGAAACCTATGTGCATACTCTAGTTCTGAAATTGCAGATATTTGACACAAGTGTGAATGCCTCCCCTTCCCTTGCCCATGATAGACATTGCTAATTAACTGCGGCATACTTTACTGCCAAACCTTGGTGAATCCTCATCTGTGCCACAGAGTCCTTAAAAACACGGTGCTCCAGGAAGCTACTGCTATTAATTTGGAGTTGGCAAATGAGAACCCGAATTGCAATTGCTACTCTTACTGGTTTGACTGTGGTATTAGCTATGAGTTCTTTGGATTCTCAGAATTTGGGGAAAAGATATATGCTTTTTTAAATGAAACAAATAGAGGAGTATAGTAAAATATATTTCCAGATTGGTTTAATCTATAATGACCTTACTCATAATCCTTTAAATATTCATTAAGTAGTAATTATAAGTTACTGTTAAATACCGTTTGTTGACTATGAATTAATTATTGACCACCTGCTATGTGCCTAGCACTATGTTAGATGCTTCCCATCATTATCCCATTTAATCCTTGTAATGAGTTTGTGAGGTAGGTATTATTATCCCCATTTTATAGATGAAAATTGGAGCATAGCCTGCCGTCATTAGGCAGTAACAGGATCTGAGCTCTCAGGTTCATTTGACTCAAACTTCTAGTCTTTTCTTTTTAAACCATATTGGTCTGTTTCTCAGTTGACACGGTGGTTATTCTTGCAATAATGCTAATAGGTATTTGCTGATCAAGTCCTAATGGAAGTATGCTACTTATCTCTATATAGATGTTTGCTGGTCAAGATTTGTATGTCTCTCTTGACTTCTCAAATAATTAACAAACTCCCTAAAGACATGAGCATGTATTTATATCTTATAATTCTCTGTAACACTGACACTATATAATAGCAATGATACAGTTAAAACCTCTTGATATATAGTACTGAGTACATATATTTTTAGTAAATTTTGACTAATATAACTTCAGAACTTCTTTAGGATTGTATAAAAGTGGAAAAGAATTTCTCCTTTATTTGCATTTTTCAAAACCAATTTTCTGTGCTGGCTAAAAGTAAAAGTAATTTCAGTGAGAGGAGTATCATGTTTTGGGTATCATTCTACTCACCATTGATTGAAACTGATGCTGCAGATTTATAAATGATTTTTGTGTTCTCACCTGTAAAATGGGGATGATAATAATAGTGTCTGTATCATAGAATTGCTCAGAGATGGAAATAATCCAATGCATATTATTTCTAGGAGCTAATCTTGTTTTTGTTCTTTTCCTTAACCCTGTCATTTCATACATCAACAAATCCTTTTGTTTCAAGCTCTCAAAATCTGAATCTGATCTTTTGTCTTTATTTCCACTACTAACCCATCCAGTCTAGGTAGCCTCTATAATTTCTTGTCTGGTCTACTGCAATAGCTTCTTTTCTAGTCTCACTGCTTTTAATCTTGCACCACATAGCAGCTAGAATTTTTTTTTTAAATATAACTCAGATGTTATTGTTTTTCTGCTTAAAATCCTCCCATAGCTTCCTGTAATACTTAGTATAAAATCTGAATTATATTTTCTGGCCTCAGGTCTGATCTAGCTCTGCTTACTTTTTCAACCCCTCCTTACTCTGTATACTTTTTGCTATGCTGGCTTATTTTTGTTTTTTTAAAATGTCAAGCTAATTCTCACCTTAGTTCTTTGCTCCACCTTGCTCTCTGAAATGCTTTGTTTCTAAATAGTCTACAGGTTTTTTAATCATAGTGACTAATTTTGAAATCTCTTTCCTGCCTCTTTTTTCCTCTGTTCTCTGTATCAACCTATGAGAGCAAGTCCTGTTGATTTTGTCTTTAAATATGTTCAGTCTGTTCATTTTTGCCACTTTGTCACAAACACTTTGGTTACTGTCATCTCTGCTTGGTTTTTTGCAGGAGCTACCTGATTTGTCTCTGTGTTTTTGTTGTCTCTACTGTACTTCTTAACTAGCAAATAGAGTAATGGGTTTTAAAAATTTTGCTTTTAAAAGTTTTATATTTACAGGAAAATTGAGAAGATTATAGTTTTCCTATTTCTTCCTTCAGTTTCCCCATTCTTAACATTTTATATTGGTATGGTACATTTGTTTAACTAAAGTCTATGGTTTATTGATATTTCTTTAGTTTTACCTATTTCTGTCCTAGGATACCACATTACTTATACTTGTCATGTCTCCTTGGGCTCCTTATGGCTGTGAAAACTTCTCAGACTTTCCTTGTGTTTGATGACCTTGAAAGTTTTGAGGAATACTGGTCACATGTTTTGTAGGATGCCCCACCATTGGAATTTGCCTGATGTTTTTCTCATAGTTAGACTTTGGTTATGGGTTTTCAAAAGGAAGACCACAGGGAATAAATGCCATTTTTATCACATCATATCAAGGGTCTATAATGTCAACATGATCTAACATCATTTTAGCTCCCCATTAGTTCTCTGAATCTATTCTCTGAACCAGTCTTATAAATTCCAGTGTCATTCATTAGGCCCGTGAAGCTTGCTTCTGCCTTAGGGTTTTTGTCCTTGCTGCTGTGCCATTGAATGCTCTTCCTCTAGGCAACGACAGGGTTCACACCCTTCCTTCCTTCTGGTTTCTGCCTTAATGTCACTTTATCAGAAAGCTCTTTATTGAATACTTTATTAAAAACATTGTACAGAAATCCCATTACCCTTTATTTCCTGCTTTATTATCTCTTCCATATATCATTTTATGATTTATTTTTGTTTATTGTTTCTCACTATTAGAATGTAGCTCTATATAAAAGTATGAAGTATTGTTCATTCCACTATCCCCAGCATCTAGAACCATGCCTGGCACATAGTAGATGCTCAACAAATATTTATAATGAATGATTATCTAAATTACTTTCTGAGAAGATCATGCCAATATAGTCCCTATGCAGTATTATTGAAATATTTACTTTGCTGTATATTGCACACCATTGAGTATTGTCTTTTAAGGTATTTGGTTGGTGAAAATTGTTTCTCTTAAATGTATTTTGATGATTACCACTAAAGAAAGGCTTTAAAACATAATTTTAGTTGTATATTCCTCTTTGTTAAATTGTTTCTTCATGTTTCATAAGCTATTTTTGAATTGTATATGAGCTAGCTGTGAGTTTAGATACATTAGTAGTATAGAGGGTACATGAAAATAACTTATTTTTCCTTCCTTAGGTTATTATAGTGACCACATCACCAAGTTCAACCTTCGTGCCCAACATTCTCTCCAAATCCCATAACTATGCAGCAGTCACTAAGCTTGTACCAACATCAGTCATTGCTTCCACAACTCAGAAGCCACCAGTGGTTATAACTGCTTCACAGTCCTCCTTGGTCAGTAGTAGCAGCAGTGGCAGCAGCAGTTCTACACCATCACCTATTCCCAATACAGTTGCAGTAACAGCTGTGGTATCTTCCACGCCATCTGTGGTCATGTCAACAGTAGCACAAGGTGAGTGGTGATTCACCATGTCATTTTGTCCCTGTGGCATATGGGAATTTTGGAGAAAACTCTTCAAAACATGTGTTTTTCTGTTTTGGATGTGTAGGTCACTACTGATGTATCAGAGATGATTATTCCCGCTGCCATGAGAATGTCATGGTCGTGGGTTACTTTGTTTTCTTATATTAATTTTAAAATGTATTTTCCCCAAATGCCTGGTACCTAGTTTCTTAGGCAATTAATATTCAAAAAATGTAAGTTAAATCTTTCACAACAAATTTCAAATGGAGCATACAAATCTCTTTAATATAATGAAATTTGTGAATGAAGAACTTGTAATTATCTTACTATAGGTTCTTCAGAAGAAACATTAAGTATATAAATTTTCATAGTAAGTCACCTAATGATAAGAAGTGGTGGTAAGAGTATGATTTCAAGGACACACCATACGTCTTTTTTGTCAGTCTTCTCAGTTTTTCTATAGGGTAGATGATAAAGATAACGAGAGAGGAACTGAGATTGAACTGAAGGACAGTTGCTGCTTAATAAGAGGAAATGAAGCAAGGAGTCCTCACTTCATTGTTGTCTTAAAGCAGCTTAGCTTTCTTCCATATCTTTGCTTTCCTCCTATATGAGAGGCAAATAGCACACTGTCAAACTTTGTTTTTACAACATTGGTACGTCTTAAGTTGGGGATCAGAGGGAAGCATTTATTATGTGGATTTCATACCTAGGTTTGTAGTCTATTAAAGGAACATGGACACATAGACTTGTACTTAATATTACTTTTCATAGACTTATGCTTATACTTATGAGTTATATAGCAAGTCCTGGGACTTGGAAATATCTTAATTTGTGAATTAGCAGTGGATGCAAGCATTCAATTAGGAAAAAAGTGATTTTCATAACTGCTTTGTAATAGTGTGTTTTATATATTTTTGTAACAACGAAGAGCTGTGGATGCAGTGTCCCTTCACTCTACAGCCCTGATATATGAGTATAGGATTAAAGGGTCTGTCATTATTTCCTGACTCAAATACCCATTTAATATTTCAATCAATAACAGGTTTAAAATTTTGTTACCTTGGGCCTTCCCAGTGGCACAGTGGTTGAGCGCTGGGTTGCGAAGCTGCCCGCAGCCTCTGCAGCGCCAGTTCAATTCCCGGCTGCTCCCCGGCCACGGGAGGAGGGTCCCACATGGCGCGCAGACCTCTCCTGCCTCGCCCGCTGCTCCCCTCAGCAGTGTGCTTCGGTCCTTCTGCCTGTTCTGCTCCCTGCTCTGGCTCTGGTGAATTCTCTCACCCTCCCGCGCTTCTGACTGTACCCAGTGCTTGTATAAATAAATAAATAAAATAAATCCAAAAAAAAAAAAAAATTTTGTTACCTTAAGTAATTTTTAAAAACCATTTCAACCTTTCTACTTGCATAGTAGTAAACTATGATATAGTATTGTTACTAAAAATAGAAATAATTTTTATACAGAAAGTCAATTTAAAATGATGATTAGTTACTAAATAAATTCCTGATTGCAAATATGATCCAAATTTACCATTTCAAAATTTGAAGATGAACAAAGGAAAGGCTGTCTCTTCATTTGACTGATCCCTGCATTAAAACTATCATCAATTGATAGTTCTTTTTTTACTTCTCATACTAAGCACACAGTTTGCTAAAGTTTTACTATATTAGAAAGATTACTGTCCTTTCAAGGAAGTTGTTATTTGAAATAAAAAGGATGTTTTTCTTGGTTACTAATGAAATATCTATGTAAAGTAAATATTCCATATTTATGTTTTTGTTTCTTGATTTTCTCAGATATTTTCTGAATTTTGAGGGAACTTATAACTTCCTATTTTATCCTTTACTTCTTTTTTTTTTAAGATTTATTTATTTTTTATTTTTTATTTATTTATACAAGCACTGGGTATAGTCAGAAGTGCAGGAGGGTGAGAGAATTCACCAGAACCAGAGCCGGGAGCAGAGCAGGCAGAAGGACCGAAGCACACTGCTGAGGGGAGCAGCGGGCGGCAGGAGAGGTCTGCGTGCCATGTAGGACCCTCCCCCGGTGGCCGGGAGCAGCTGGGGATCTAACCTGTGCTGCAGAGGCTGAGGGCAGCTTTGCAACCCAGTGCTCAACCGCTGCGCCACCTGGGAAGCCTTTATCCTTTACTTCTTAATACCGTGTGTCCTTTGAAGCTTGAGTAGGCACGGGGGAGCTGACATGACAATGCAGAAATTTTTCACACAGTCACTGAAGTCAACAGATCATGAGGGATATAAGAGTAAACTATCTGAATATAGATATTCAGGAAACTATGGTTATTTTGAGTTTCCATTTGAGATCTTGAATTCAGATATTAATGCTGAGGCATTAAGTATTTGCTTTAAATAAAAGTAAATGTTAGTGGAAGAAACAATATATAGACTGCAGTGGTGCTTCTGACTGCAGGGCTTCTGTAGCAGCTCCTGTAGTGTGAGTACTTGGTGGACAAGGGCATTCGGTGTTTGCTTCTGTTAGGCAGTAGAGAAAGGCTCTTTTAGAACGAGGTATCTGTAGTTATTTTTGCAGTTGGTGGTAGAAGGGGAAGAGTCATAGCACAGTACCTTTGTGGGTGACACCAAGTTTGTAAGTGTAGAGATGATTCCACAGGTAGGAAGTAGAAAGATTGTGTATGGGTTGGCTCATGCTGTGGGAAGGGGAAAGAATTCCTTAATATTTGCAATGTGGGAATTCTTAAATTCTACTCCTGAGAATGGTTATTCTGAGATGGTCTTCTAGAGGAAAGGATAATTAATTTTTTTTATTATGAAAAATTCCAAATATACATAAGTAGAGAGAATAATGTAATGAACCTTCATGTGCCCATTACCCAGCTTCAAGGGTGATCAACACATGGTCAGTTTTGTTTCACTTGTACCTGCTGTTTTCTTCCACAAATCCCTGATCTGAAATGTTTTGAAACAAATTCCAGATTTGTAATTTCATCTATAAATACTTCTCTTAAAAAAAATTAAGAATACCACTATGACACCAAGAATTTTTTAAAAATTTTTTTAAAGATTTATTTATTTATTTGTTTGTTTGTTTGTTTATTTATACAAGCACTGGGTACAGTCAGAAGCGCGGGAGGGTGAGAGAATTCATCAGAGCCAGAGCAGGGAGCAGAGCAGGCAGAAGGACTGAAGTACACTGCTGAGGGGAGCAGCGGGCGGCAGGAGGGGTCTGCATGCCATGTGGGACCCTTCTCCGGTGGCCGGGGAGCAGCCGGGGATTGAACCGGTGCTGCAGAGGCTGCGGGCAGCTTTGCAACCCAGCGCTCAACTGCTGTACCACCGGGGAGGCCCGACACCAAGAATTTTTAACAATAATTTCTTGAGGTAATAAAATATCTAGTTAGTAGTATCCAAATTTCCTTGCTCATGCCATTAAAAAAATTATTATTATTATTTTTTTAATTAGGGCCCAAACAAGGTCCATAAGTTGTATTGGTAACTGTTATGTCTTTTTACTTGTGTATCTCATCACTTTTTTCTCTCTTCTTTGTAATTTGTTGAAGAAAGCATGATCCAATTTAAGTCTGATTATTTTTGGAGACAAGGGGAATGAACATTTTTCCTCTTGCATCACTTTAGGAGGCATGTCACATCTGTTTTTTCTCTTTTAATGATATTAACATTGATCAGGGGCCTCCCCGGTGGCGCAGTGGTTGAGTGCTGGGTTGCGAAGCTGCCGGCGACCTCTGCGGCGCCGGTTCGATCCCCGGCTGCTCCCCGGCCACCTGAGGAGGGTCCCACATGGCGCGCAGACCTCTCCTGCCGCCCGCTGCTCCCCTCAGCAGCGTGCTTCGGTCTTTCTGCCTGCTCTACTCCCCGCTCTGGCTCTGGTGAATTCTCTCACCCTCCCGCACTTCTGACTGTACCCAGTGCATGTACAAACAAAACAAACAAACAAATAAATAAATAAAAAAAAGCCTCTATTAAAAAAAAAAACATTTAAAAAAAAAACATTTAAAAAAAAAACATTGATCAATGGGCGTATTCTTTTTTTTTTTTTTTTAAGATTTTTATTATTTATACAAGAACTGGGATACACGCCAGAGATGCAGGGGGTGAGAGGATTCACCAGAGACAGAGCAGGGAACAGAACAGCAGATGGACTGAAAGCACTGCTGAGGGGAGCAGCGGGTGAGACAGGAGAGGTCTGCCCCGCCATGTGGGAATCTCCCTGGCTGGCTGGGAATCCTACAGACAGCTTCATAACGCAGCGCTCAACCTGTTGTGCCACCGGGGAGCCCAATGGCATATTCTTAACAAATTCTTAAAAAGCTATCAGCAATTTGCAAGGCTAATGATAGTTGCAAAAATGAATTGTCTTTATTTTGTTTATGAGCTGGAGTAACTTTTCCTTATTACCATTGGTTATCCTGAGATATAATTCATATAGGAAAAGCAGGGTAAATACCTGACTATTTTCCTTAGTATGTTCTCAGATAATGAATTGGTTCAATGACCAATGATATTTTTATTCCCCGTATCATTAAGATTTTTGATGTCCTATCAAACCATTGCAGATATTCTTTTGGTGGTCAAGCTGTCCATTCCTTTCCAGTGAGGGCCTGTTCAAATTGGCTCCCTAGGTTCTTTTGACACATCTGCATTAGTCCTTAACTTCCTTGTTTTGTGGTAGATGATGTCCAGGTTTACATTGCATATATTTTACCCCAGATTTGGAAGTAGATATTTCTTCAAGGAGCCCTGATTTCTTATGAGATCTACTATTTAGATAACACAATCTGGGCACTGTGGAGATAGTGATTGCTGCTGGGTTGGTGGTTGTTTTTAGATTTTTTTCCCCCTGAACTGAGCTAGGGTCCTTTTTTTTTTAAAGGGGGAAATATATCATCGTTCATATTTATATTACCAATTCCAGTTTAGAATTATGGGGTTTTAAGTTTTTTGTTTTTCTGTGTGTATAATTATATATATTTTTTATACTGAAAACCTGGTTCCTAATGATGAATAAAATCATGTATTTGATTAACATAGTAGTTTCAGAATAGTAAAACCAATATGATTAATAATATGATTGCTAAACAATTTTAAATTTTATTTTGGTTCTTTTTAAAAGATTTATTTATTTGTTTATACAAGAACCGGGGTACAGGCCAGATTCGCGGGAGGGCAAGAGGATTCACCAGAGACAGAGCAGGGAACAGAACAGGCAGACTGATGAAATACACTGCTGAGGGGAGCAGCTGGCGAGACAGGAGAGGTCTGCTGCGCCATGTGGGACCCTTGCCTGCTGGCTGGGATCGAACCAGTGCTGCAGAGGTTGCGGACAGCTTCACCATGCTGCACTCAACTGCCTGTGCCACCAAGGGAGGCCTTATTTTGGTTCTTTTGACTCTTGTGGTATTTTTACTAAGAATAGATAATCAAATCAACTGTTTTTTAAAGTCACTTGATATAATTTTGTCCTCAGATTAAGTTCTTATTTGGTGTGTACAATTAGGTTAATTTATTTTGTGTTTTTGGGGTGGTAATTTAAATTTTTTGCCTTAATTTTTTTATAATTTTGTAAAATATTTAAATTTTTACAAAGTCAAATCTACAAAATAGTGTATGTTCTGAGTACTCTGCTTTAGCTCTGCGACGGTCCTTCTATCCTTTTCTATGGTTCCCTGATAGGTAACCTTTTCCCCTCTAATTAGTTTTTAGTTTATCCTTCTGTATTTTAATATACATACTCTTGTGCATTTTAGTGTTTGGAAAGCATAGTTTTTGATTTCTTGATTATAACTGTGTGGTAATACAGAAAAAGGGGATGTGCTTGGTGTGTATCAAAAGAAATTGTTTCCTTTAGATGGCTCCTTCATATTTGATTTCTCCCTATTTTGCCCCCTCTGGATTACATACTTATCAGACTTGAGTCTGTAAATAACTTTTTTGTTTATATCTAAACCCTTCTGACTCTTCTTGTTCCTTATCAACCAAAGAATGGGCTAGTGTTTCTTATTCAGGTTAATTACTATGACCTTTCTACTTTTTTTTTTTTAAGATTTATTTATTTATTTATTTATACAAGATTGATTGATTGATTGATACAAGCACTGGGTACAGTCAGAAGCGCGGGAGGGTGAGAGAATTCACCAGAGCCAGAGCGGGGAGCAGAGCAGGTAGAAGGACCGAAGGACACTGCTGAGGGGAGCAGCGGGGTGGCAGGAGAGAGCTGCTCACCATGTGGGACCCTCCTCCGGTGGCCGGGGAGCAGCCGGGGATTGAACCGGCGCTGCATAGGCTGCGGGCAGCTTTGCAAACCAGCGCTCAACTGCTGCGCCACCGGGGAGGCCTGACCTTTCTACTTTTTACTCTACCTATTTCTCCGATACATTCTATTGCCATTGTCTTTTCTGTTACTTTGGTAAAAGACTTTTGTTTTTCTCTTACTTTTCTTTCATCTCATTTTTTTCCTCATATTCTTTTATTTACCCAATATTGTGACAGTGTTCGCTGATCTTTTACTTCCTTTCTTGATCCCACCTCACCCCAAGTAACATTTTGTCTAGCTACATTGTATTCACTAATACTCCAGCTTTCTATAATGTTTTTATTTGCTTTAAGCTGGTCCTGAATATGATTCCTGTTTTACAGTCTTGTTTCATGAAATCCTGTCCTTATGAAACCCCGAACTCTACCCATTCAAATGTGTCCTCACTTAGCATGCATAGATTTTAGAACCTGCAAGTATTAGTGAATTAAATAATTTTAGAGAGAAATGGAGAGCAAAAATTAGTTATCTTACCACTCTTACGATAGCACTTTTCATTTTTAAGTTACTGCCTTTTCACCCTGGTGAATTTTAAAAATTTATTTGGAATAAGAAGTCTACATTCCATTTGGGATGATACGTCTTTCGGGTAACATTTTTGTTAAAAAAATTAAATTGAGTAAATTTTAAATATCTTACTAACTTTATTCAGTAATTCACAAGACAGGCAACATTCTGTCTAGGAAATAGAAAGAATCTGAAGAGTTGTACAAAATTAAAGACTTACAGACAGAAGAGAGAAGTGTGAAATATCCTAAGTATTTGTAATTAGGTTATTGTCAGTTTCTTTGCATTGTTTCAGTGGTGCTCATAAAGTTGACATGTAAGTTATATTCCAGGTTCTCTCTGCTAGGAATATTAATTCATTTCTAGAAAATCTTCCTGTTGGGTTGTTGATGAATTATAAGATTACAAAAATCCAGCAAAGAGGAATTTCTCTCAGGCTCATTCATGTTTAATGGAAATAATTTGTATTCCTTACCTTTGTATGCTTATATTAATATTGTGCAATAAAGTGTTAAAATCTTAAATCAGAACATTTTTGCTGTGAATATATTGAGTATGTCCACTTGTAAATTTTTACATGATTATTTAATGACTTAGTGCTCTCAAGAAATGACTTTATAGTTACTAGAAATGGGCTATAAAGCTAACTTTACCATATTAAATATAGTTCTTTGTTTTAATGTGAATTATTTTATCTACTGCCATGTTTAAATTTCATTGTGAATTATTTTAACAGATGGTATGTATAAATTGATTAGTTTTAAGTCTCCCTTGCAAAGTTTGAAGACTAGACATCAGCTATGTAAACCACCACACTGAGTGCTTAATAAATTGCTTTTATTGGTTTGCCAAGTCTTTAAACTATTATACATTGGAATATCTAGAAGCTATGCTTTACTATTCTTTTTTCCTTTACTCTTTCACAGGTGTATCTACATCAGCAATCAAAATGACATCAACCAGACTTCCTTCCCCCAAAAGCTTAGTGGGTACTCCAACTCAGATTCTTGCACAGTTTCCTAAGCAGCATCAACAGTCTCCTAAGCAGCAGTTACATCAAGTACAGCAACAGACACAACAACAGGTGGCCCAGCCTTCTACAGTATCTCATCAGCAACAGCCTCAGCAGTCTCCATTGCCACCTGGTATTAAGCCTACCATTCAAATCAAACAAGAGTCAGGTAACTGGAATATGTTTACAAGATTTTTTTTCCCCAATCACTGGTTATCCAAAGACTGTAGATAGATACTTAATAAATTTCTGTATATGATTTCCTCAGGCACCAGAGTTTTAATCTGTTGGAAATACTTACATAGAGAGAATTAGAGCTTGGAAATAGAAAAGTGATAAAAAGCAGCTTTTATAGCAGTAACTTTTTCAGTGAACTCAGGAGAGATAAAGGAAACTGAGGAAATAAACTCAGCTTTTAGAATTATACTCTAGGACCTTGGGGTTATGGGAAGTGAATAGTGGAGAGGTTAGTCTGGGAAGTCTTGTGTTAGGTGACTATATTATAAACTTCTTTTTTTTTAAGATTTATTTTATTTATACAATAGCTGGGGTACAGGCCAGAGGTGCGGGAGGGTGAGAGGATTCACCAGAGACAGAGCGGGGAACAGAACAGGCGGATTGACTGAAATATGCTGCTGAGGGGAGCAGCAGCTGAGTCAGGAGAGGTCTGCCGCGCCATGTGGGTTGCTCCCTGGCTGGCCGGGAATCGAACACGTGCTGCAGAGGCTTCGGATTGCTTCATAGTGTGGTGCTTAACCCCATGTGCCACCAGGGAGGCCCCAGGATTTCCTTCTTTTTTATAATATTCCTCCGTTGTGTGTATTTATATCACATTTTTTTTATCCATTCATCTGTCATTGACACTTAGGCTGTTTCCATGTGTTGGCTGTTGTAAATACTGCTACAACAAACATGGGGGCACAGATACCTTTTAAAGTTAGTGTTTTTGTTTTCTTCAGGTAAATATCCAGAAATGGAATTGTTGGATCATATGATAGTTAAATTTTAAAATTTTTGAGCGACCTCATAGTTGTTTAATCCATTTACATTCCCACAACAATGCACAAGGGTTTCCTTTTCTCCACATCCTTGCCAAAACTTGTTATTTCTCGTCATTTTGTTAATAGCTATTCTGAAAGATTTGAGGTGATACCGCATCGTGGTTTCCTGTTAAACTAAACTTATTTATCTGAAAGAAATAACACTTGGTCATGGTGTATAATTCTTTGTCTACATTACTAGACTTGATTTGCTAACAATCTGTTGAGAACTTTTGTGTTCATGAAAGATATTTGTCTATAGTTTTCCCTTTTTTCTGTACTGTCTGTCTGCTTTTGGTATCAGGGTAATACTGGTCTCATAAAATGAGTTAAGAGGTATTTTTTCCTTTCCTATTTTCTGGAAGAGAGTGTGTAAAATTGATGTTAGTTCTTGTTAAACAGTTGATAAAATTTGCTAGTGAAATCACCTGACTTGGAGATATCTTTTTTGGGGAGTTTTTAATTATGGATTTACTTTATTTAATGATTATAGGACTGTCCAGATTATCTGTTTTATCTTGGTTGAGTTTTGGTAATTTGTTACTTTCAAGAAATTGAGTTCTAAATTGAATTTATGTAAGTCTAGTTGTTGGTTGTAATCACTTACTATCCATTTAGTGGCTAGAGCATCTATATTAATGTCCCTTGTTCCCACCTTATATTGGTGGTTTGTATCTTTTCTGTCTTTGTCAGACATGATGGAAGTTTATCAGGTTTTTGAAGAACCAGATTTTTTTTTTAAAAAAAGATTTATTTATTTATACAAGAACCAGGGTACAGGCCAGATGTGCGGGAGGATGAGAGGATGGCTGCACTCAATCGCCTGCGCCACCAGGGGAGGCCCAAGAACTAAATTTTTACCTCATTGGTCTTTTTAATAACTTTTCTGTTTTTCATTTTATTGTTTCCTTCTGCTTGCTTTGTGTTTACTTTGCTCACTGATTTCTTAGGGTAGAAACTTAGATTACCAAGTTAATGCATTTTCTCTCTTCGAAACATTTATCAGTTTTGTCTGTATGCACGTAAATAGATAAGTGATAAATTTCTCCTAGCCTACTTTAGTTACATCCGAATTTTGTGTGTTTTAAATTTACTTTCAGACTTCCTCTTTGATGATTACGACTATGTAATTAATTTCAAAATGTTGAAGATTTCTCTGTGATCTTTCTACTATTGATTTCTAATTTGATTCCACTATAGTCAGAGAACATACCTTTGCATCATTTCAGTTAAAAATTTTTTTTTTTTTTTTTTTCTGGGACCCTTGATGGTGGCCGGGGAACGAACTGGTGCTGCAGAGGCTGCGGGCAGCCTCACAGCCCAGCACTCAACCTCTGCGCCACCAGGGGAGGTCCTAAAAAAATTTTTTTTTTAAAGTATAATATCCCCAGAGTTTTTCTTCAGACTTGAGGACTTAGTTCCTTTACATGGTGTTTGGATGAGGTGGTGGGGCAACATTCACAGTTCTATATCAGGGTTGGAATGTTGGGTCCTTCTGGGTTGTATGAGAGTGAGTCCCTGACTACCTTGACATGAATGCCAAAATTCATGCAGTAGTGTAATTTCACATACAGCTTGGGAAGCACATAGGTGTCAAAGACACTTGCATGGGATAAGTCTGACAGCTGTGGCCTCCACTGTTTTGACTTCTTCCTCAGTTGACAAAGCAAATGGGCTGTACGTGACTGTGGCCCTTTTGGCCATGACCATTATTCCTCCTGTTGGGTTTGTTTGTTTGTTTGTTTTTTGGTCATCTTGGAAGCAAGGACCAAAAAGAGACAGTTCTTAAATATTTTTTGTAGTTTCTTAAATTTCTAAATATTTTTTGTAGTTTTGGCTCAGAATATGCCCTACTTTGGTGAATATTCCATTGTACATGGGGAAAAAAATGTCTGTTGTTTGGAGAGTGTTTTATTATAGAGAGATTAGATCCCACTGGTTGATTGTGTTGTTCAGTTCTCCTATGTCCTTGTTGAATTTTCTGTCTAGTAGTTCTATCAGTTGTTTAGAGTGGGATATTGAAGTCATTCATTATAAATACTCTGAAAATATCTCTTACTTTTTGCTTTTACTTTTGCTTTTTTCATATATTTTGATGCACCAAACAAAGAAGACACAGTGTCTTCCTGGTAGTTTGTTCCTTTTTATATTGTGTGGCATCCTTTTTTTCCCCTCTAAGAATTTTCTTTGCTCCAAAGTCTACTTTACCTTCATTCCGACATAGGAATGATTAATCTTTTGATTAATGTTTGCTTAGTGTATCTTTCCTCCTCTTACTTTGCACCTGTATATGTTGTATTGGAAATGAGTTTTCTGTAGGTAGCATAAAGTCTGGTTGTATACTTACTCTTTGTTTCTTCAATGCTATATTTACATCATTTACATTTAAAGCAATTGACATGTAAAGCTTAAGTTGTCCGTTTGCTATTCGTTTTCTGATTTCTTTTTTTCTTGCCTTATGGCTTTACGAAAAATTTGGAGTTTGTTATTTTTTTCTGTTTTCTTAGTGTTTGTTCATGATTATAATTTATATGTGTAATTTCTACTACATAGTGCTTTATAAATGGAATGCTTTTCTATTGCAGAAGGGAAACTCAAAATTTCTAATGTTGTCCTGTTGTACCCTTGTTGGGAAAATATGGAGCTATCTGTTTTATGATCTTTTTCCACCCACAAGAAGCTCTGGAACTTTGGGGACTGGGCAGGGATCAATGACAAACTTCTCTCTGAATGACATTCCTGTTCTGGGAGCTGAGCACTTAGTGAAAGAAGTGGGTGCTGGGGTGGGTAGCAGCCTGAGAGCCTCTTGATTAACTCCCCCTGAGCACACAAGCCAGAACAATGTTGATCAGGACCCAGTATTCTCACTGGTGCTGGGTGCAAGGGTAGAGTCTTTGTTCACAAATTTGGGGTTTGGTAGAACAAGGGAGCGCTTGCCTCTTCACTGCATTTGCCCAGGTCTTAGCCATATCAGCAGGTTCCTGGGGGCAGGATGAGCTAAGCTGATGTCCTCTTTCCCCTCAGAAGAAAACCCTCCAATTGGGAACTGGAGAAAGCAGAATCCATGTGTTTTTTGCTGTAGTGCTCTGGAGAAGAATCTGCCTCACTGGAAGGGGAGAAGGAGGAACTGTTCTTTTTTTAAATACCACAGATCTTGCCTTTTAAATCACATTTTTCTACACTTTCTTGAATAGATGTTTTTTTTTCCTTTCTCAGTGGGACCATTACTAGAGCTTTTCAATGGTGGTTTTATTTTACCACTTTTCGTTAGGTTAGCAGGTCAGCAGAATTCCTTATATACTTTTGTCAAAACTCAATCTTTGGGGTGTTTTTTGTTTGATTCTTTTTAATTGTGATACAATTATATACAACATTGTATTAGTTTTGGGTTTACAACATAATGTTTTGATAGACGTATATATTTTAAAATGATTGCCCCAATAAATTTAGTAAATATCCATTACCACACAGCTGTGAATTTTTTCTTCTTTTGATAAGAACTTTTAAGAAGAAAGGTTTCAAATACATTGGAATTGTTTTCTGTAGTATTACCTGTGGAACTATCTCAGCCTTCTATTTTTTTGGCAAAGGAGGATGAGCTCTTAAAAATATGTTTCATGGAAATTTGTTATTTTAGAATCTTTTCTGAGGTAATTTTGATATGTAATATTTTTCTAGAAAAATTTCCACTTGATCCAAAATCTCAACTTACCTGCATAGTTCTAAGCAAAGCAATCTCGTATGAGTCCCTTAATTTTGTTCTGTGTGGTTATTTCATTGGGGATTTCTTTTTATGTAACTTAAATATTAATGAGATAATAGTAGAAATTATTTTTGCTGTTTGTGATAATTAGAATTAATTATTTCTACAATAACTTTATTTTTGAATTCTCTTTTTTTAAACTTCTTTTTTTTTTTTTAAAGAGGCATGTATTTTTATTTATTTATGATTTTTTTTTTTATTTGTTTGTTTGTTTGTTTTGTTTATACATGCACTGGGTACAGTCAGAAGCGCGGGAGGGTGAGAGAATTCACCAGAGCCAGAGCGGGGAGCAGAGCAGGCAGAAGGAGCGAAGTACACTGCTGAGGGGAGCAGCGGGCGGCAGGAGAGGTCTGCATGCCATGTGGGACCCTCCTCCGGTGGCCGGGGAGCAGCCGGGGATCGAACAGGCGCCATAGTGTCCGCGGGCAGCTTCGCAACCCAGAGCTCAACCGCTGCACCACCGGGGAGGCCCTTATTTTTGAATTCTTACATTATATACTAGGCACTTTATAATTTTGATTTATTTAATCTTCACAAAAGTCCTAGAAAATATATACTATTACTGTCTATTTGAAGATAAGAGAACTGAATCATAGAGCTTAGGTAATTTACTTCACTATTCTAGATGTTATAGATTTAACTTCTTTGTTGGCTAAAAATTTAAAATTACTTAAGTTTATTACTAAATAAACAGATTTGTATGCTTCCTAATGCTTTAACCTAAATCACCATTCAAAAATGTAATAAGATTTTTAGTTGTTTATATTCCATGAATTATTTCTGTGAAGTTAGTGGGGAAAATGTATTGTAAAAACTACTTCCTCAGTTAACAATTTTTGGTAATTAAATTTATAGTTAATGTAAAAGATTTCCTTTTGAGTGGACATTTTTCTTTTTCTTTTTTTTTCTCCCTGCTCCCCTTTATTTTTTTATCTCATATTTATTTATTTATTTTTTATATCATTGTTCATTTATAAACAATATTTGCTTCCCCTGCCCCCTCAGGTGAAGATCCCATAAGAGTTTCCTTCACCACTGCACCCGTGCACCATCTTGAGTAGACATTTTTCATTTGGAGAGTCAGTGTGACAATTACAACATTCAAATAGAAATTCTGAACATGTGAAAACAAAATCATAACATCACCACCCTAACATTTTAACTTTATTTTTACATATTGCAGTCAAGTTTTGGCCCATAGGCTTATTTAATGTAGGGGGCAATAGCTATATATCCTTCATTTTGTATTTTGTGTTTGATAGTGAGCTACTAGAAATACTTCTAGAAAGAAGTTATTTTAAAAATAAAGGCTCAAAATGAGCCTTTCGTTTATCAAATATTTCTTGTCTTTATAGTTTCCAGTGACCTCTATGTTTAAGGCATTATGAGAAGTCTTTGGGGTACTGGGAATATATAAAAAACATTAACTTTTATTTTCAGGTCTTTTTTCATCTCGGGTATTTGCATGGAACATATTATTTAGTTGTCTGTACAAGTTTAGGTCAATGACTAATTTGATTTGAAAGCTCTTATATGTCACGATCCTAGACAAAGAAAAAATGTTTTTTTAAAAACCTTTTAGTAACTTCTGTAATGTTTTAATTGTATTCTTAGATGAGAGAAATTAGCAAAGATAGGAATTTGAGGAATAAAAGTGTAAAGGGTTTCATCACCATGAAAAAACTTCTCTTTAGACAAGACTTAATAAAGAGTATGTAACTATTGCCTTCTTGGGTAGACATTTTTTTTAAAAATTTGTGCTGAGATATGTCTTTCTTCTTTTAAAGGTGTTAAAATCATCACGCAACAAGTTCAACCAAGTAAAATCTTACCCAAACCAGTCACAGCAACTCTGCCTACCAGTAGCAATTCCCCTATTATGGTGGTTAGCAGTAATGGTGCAATTATGACAACTAAACTGGTAACCACTCCTACTGGTAAGTTTTCTTGACCATCAGTCCATTCATTTCTCATTTATTCATCCAGTAATTTATTTGTATCAGCAACGTGCTTGACACTGGGAATATAGAGATCAATCAGACCATTCTTCAAAAAGATCTTTCTTACCTCCCTCCCCCAAGCTGAAATTAGCTTTCTTACTATTGTCACCATCCTTTGTTCTTTTCCTATATAACATGCACTACAACTTCCAGTTTCTTAGCCACGTGTTAATTGATTTACCCAATTAGACTGTAAACTCTATGAGGCTAAGGGAGCATGTCTGTTTTATTCCCCATGTATATGTAGAGCTGGTCTTATAGGTAGGAGTTTAGTCAGAATTTGCTGATTGAATGAAATCACAATCCTAGCCTACAAGGATCTCATTCTGGTGATGTTAAAAATCTATATTACATTACAGTGTAGTAGACAGAGGGAAGCACAGTCTAGATTTTTCCCAGATAGGAGAGCAACTAGCAACCATACCCAAGGAAGTGACAGTGCAGAACATTTTAAACAGTACTCTTTGTGCCCTTGAATAGGTTATTTAATCTCTAAATCTTTCTCCTTGTCTATTTAGATAGGGTCATAAGGTCTTTGTAAGTATTAATGAAATTAGCTATGTAAAGTACTCAGAAGAGTGCTCAATAACTATTACTATTAATACTAGAATTAGCCATTGCTGTTACTTTAAATTTCTATAAGCTGTACCAAATTTTTTGAGGAGGGCCAGTATTTAGGAGATAGAATTAAAGTAATATAAATTGATAACTGTATCAAATTTGTACACTATCATTTATTGGCCAGTATATAAAAGTCTGCACAATCATGGCACTTACTCTCCCTTAGGTTTTATTTTATTTTAAGATTGATTTATTTATGCATACAAGAGCTGGGGTACAGGGCAGAGATGCGGGGGGGGGTGGGGTCGGAGGGAGTGAGAAGATTCACCAGAGACAGAGTGGGGAGCAGAACAGGCAGACTGACTGAAATACACTGCTGAGGGAAGCAGCGGGCAAGACAGGAGAGGTCTGCTGTGCCATGTGGGCCAGCTCCCTGGCTGGCCGGGGATTGAACTCATGCTGCAGAGGCTGCGGATTGCTTCATAGTGCGGTTCTTAACCCCTTGCGCCACCGGGGAGGCCCTTCCTTAGGTTTTAATATCTCCATTTTCAGCAACAATCCACAGACTTAGATTAAAGTTTGCCCAGTGTCATACAGTTAAGAAATGGTAGAAATGGTATTTGAACCCAGATCTGTTTGACTCTGAAAGCCTGTACTTCTTCCCTTTGTATTATGGGAAAGTATAATTAACCTGAAATTTACCACTTTCATAATTTTTAAGTTACAGTTCTTGGCATTAAATACATTCACATTGTTTTGTAGGCATCAGAACTTTTTCATTTTCCCATACTGAAACTCTGTTCCCATTAAACAATAAAATGGGAGCCCATTTTTACCTTCCCGCGGTCTCTGGCAACTACCATCCTACTTTATTTCATTTTTGCAAATCCTGTGCTTTAAGGATACTTATTCCTGTATTAGATCTGTCATACTTCCCCCTCTCTCCAATTTTTTCCATTTGGTAGAAAGCTAAGAGTGTATTTTATATTTATATATATATATATATATATATATATATATATATATATACACACACACATAATTGCTCAGGTAAGGAAAGGTAGTGTAAAACAATGTGTCCGTACTTCATGTATCTATATTAGAATAAGTGCTTCTCTTTTTAAACAAAAACTTAAGTTGAAAAAATCTTCAGCTACAATTCAGTTGATTCGAACTGTGTATCTTTATTGGCATGTTTACTTTGCATAAACATTCAGCTGTATAGTTGTGACCAATTTAAACTAATTCTACTTAATGTTCTTATTGCCCCCTTTTTTAAGTTTTGAGTGTGTTTTTAAAAAGGTGAATTACTTGGAAAATCATTTGGGGGAGTGGACTTGTTGAAAGTGGTTATCTTGTCAGTTGAAGGTGTTATTGTAGTTGTCCTCATTCTTTCCAAAACTAATACTTAGCTATTTAGTATAGCATTTATGAGCTGACCAGATTAATAAGAAGCTATAACAGGATCATCTGATAGTTTTTAACTACTGTTTTGGGGAAGAAGGGCTAGAAATATTGGGAAAAATATAAAATCTATTGAGGAACATGGAGAAAAATATTCTAATAGGTCAGTTAAAGTTGAGGAAATAAGTAAATAGTGAAGTTTTTAGGCTAAAATGAAATATTTCTGGCAAGTCTTGGCAACCTTAGCTTTCATCTCTAGTAAGGTGATGGAATGACTTTAAAATATGGAAATATATTTAGAGGGTAGCAGAATACAAAACAGTAAAGGTTTATAAAATTTTAGGCAAACAATACTTCCTTATATGCTAAGTGCTGACATTGGGTTTGGCAGTGAGACAGCATAAAACAGATGTAGAGACCTTAAAATATGTAACAGAAATATCTAAAATGCTCTGGCAGGAAAGATGATTTAAATTTAAGTTTCTTTTGGCATAAAAGTGGTGGAAGAAGGGTAGTGAAAGAAGGGAGCAGAGTTAGCTATACTTTTTTCTTGGGACTAGTAATTTGATGTAACACGTCACAAAATTTTCTGTATAAAATTAATTAATGGAATTGTGCATTGGAAGTTGGTTGTAAATTGTTATTTTATTGTCTTGACATCTTGAAATTCCATTTTCAAGTTTAAGCAATGTAGGTTACATTAAATTATTGTTGAGCAGTATAAATTGTCATTCTTTTATAAGTACTAACAAGTTTTTCCTTTGGCACATCCATTTTTACAGGTACACAGGCGACGTATACCCGGCCAACGGTGAGCCCGTCCATAGGTCGGATGGCTGCAACCCCTGGAGCGGCAACCTATGTGAAAACTACCAGTGGCAGCATCATTACAGTAGTGCCCAAATCATTGGCTACCTTGGGGGGCAAGATAATTAGCAGTAACATAGTTTCTGGTAGGTATATCTGAAATATGTTAAAGGTATAGTTCACCTTCAATAAGAGAAAACCACATTTCATTTTTGAAGGATTCTTTTTTGGATCTCACTTTTCTGCTTAGAAATCTTAAACTTTGTTTTTAGTCCTGATGTTTCGTGATCTAAGTATAATTTTTCACTTCTGGTATTAAATATTCATGTGTTAAGCTTTTGATAGTTCTAAAATCCAAAGAACCTTTAGTTTATAATCAGAATGGAGAGATTATTGCTTAGATTTACGTAGAAAATTTTCATTTATGAAGTATTCTGTGAGTTGTCTGTGCATTCAGACCTCAGAACTTTGAGATAGTTGATATTATCATCAATTTTTAGCTGCAAACAAATTTGACTTAAGGGAGGTGAAATCAATCTGCTCAAGATCACATAGTGAAATAGTGGGAGAGCTAGTATCTGTTACTCTAACTAAATATGTTTGAGGACCATATCTCATCCTTCCAATTACTAATGTCCCTTTAGCTTATTAAAAGTAAAAGCACTTGAATATCTTTATTTACTTTTTACCATTTATATTGATTATTTACTTTTTAAAAATAATTTACTCAAATAGTGAAATCTAATAATATTTACTGGTATTTTGGAACTTACCTGACTTTAATTGGTTCATTAATTCCTGAAGTGTTTGGGTTGTGAACTCTGGACGTGGTATGTTAACACGGCATCCATTTTCATTGATTATTATTTTTTAATTAAAATGATGTAAATAATCTCTGATTAAGCAATCCTTGTGGACTTTACTGTCTACTCTTTTTGTAGACTAGCCATATTTTGTATGCCCCAGGTGAGTTTTTTAAAGTTAAGGGGTTGAATTTCCTGGCAGCAATATTTTGTTGCTGATAACTTAAAGTGAAAAAAAAAAAAAAAGCAAAATAGGGCATGGTATTGGTATAAAACTATATTTAAAACTGTTGAATTTGGCTCTACTTTTAAGTGTAAGTGAGAAAATCCAGCATTTGCCAAACTGAGAAGGGGGTGGAAACTGTTAGGGAAAGATTCTTCATACTCCAATTTTAAGAGGATATTTTAAATAACAGTTAAAACTAAAATCATAACTTAATACTTGATGATATCTTTAAATAGTATAGAGCACTTACTCAAACATTTTTCAAAAAGTGATCACTTTTTTTAATTGGTGTATACCTTTCTGTGATCAAAAGGGTTTCTTTTACTTACATATGAATTCATAGCATCATATACTTGAAGTAATGTCTAGGTGTCGGGAGACCTCTATTTTCAAACTTATTTAACGGCTTTGTACTAGGGTAGAGCAATACAAGTAAACACATTTTCTAGAAAGTAGTGAGATTTATTCCCTACACATACATACATTTTATCAATCTTTGTATTCAGGTTTAAAGTAATTAATGGTTAGTTGCTATTTCTATGTATGGGTACACACTGGAAGAGTTCTTAAACTTTCCCAGCATTGCAGGGTAAGTTGACACAAGGTTGAAACAGCTTTATTCATTGCAGGGAACCTATTTTATCTCTACCTTTGCTTCACTGATACTGCTCTCATTTCTAATTACTCTAAGTTGATCCTTACATTACCTATCAACATTTTTTATTAAGACAATTTCTTATTTTGTAATCTTGTTCCATGGTACTGGGATAGTTTGTTACTAGTTTTTATGTCCTCAGTGTCTATTCATAGTAAACTGGTAAGCCTTGGTTGAATGAACTTAGATAGTTTTTGCCTTTATCCATGAACAGATGCTGCATCCTAGAATCTGCCCCTGCTCTGTAAAACCCAAAAAACAAAGAAATTTCCTTAAAATACATGTCAATATCTAGCTGAAGGAATAGAAAGCAAGCTGAAAAAAAGAAAACACACTTTCTTTCGATGTGTCTATCGCTTCCCTCTGTCTAAACTTCCAGAACAAATTTTTTTTTTTAAAGATTTATTTATGTATTTATACAAGCACTGGATACAGTCAGAAGCGCAGGAGGGTGAGAGGATTCACCAGAGCAAGAGCATCGAACCAGCGCTGCAGAGGCTGCGGCAGCTTTGCAGCCCAGTGGTCAACTGCTGCGCCACCGGGGGAGGCCCCAAAATTTTTTAATTAAAGAAAAAAGGTCCCTCATTGTAGGGACTTCAGAAAATATGATTAGGTACAGAGAAAAGTAAGAACCTATAATTTTCACCACACAGAGAAAAGTGTTAAAATTTAAGTATGTTTCTTTTTCTTTTTTTTTAATAGAAATGTGTTGTATATGTGTTTTTGCATTTTAAAATTAGAGTTGTGATACAACGAATTCTATCATTTTACTATGTATTCCCCCATGCCATTAAATACATTTGGCCCCTCTCATATAATGTACCATTTTTAGCCATTTTCTTATTTTTGAATGCTTTAGCTTGCTTACAATTTTTTGTCATTATAAATAATCCTGTGATGAACATCTTTATATAGGTTTATATATTGATATAATTGACATGCAGTTCTCACTTCCTTTGTAAAATATCCCAGAAGGCATGTTTATGCTTCCAAAGTACTTTTAGAAAGGTTACATTTTTCTTTTTATTAGAATAATCCATTAAATGGAAGGCTCCACTACTTTTACAGTTATTGAACATATATCTTACAAAATATTTACTTTGTATAGAGAAAATGGCAGAGATGCAATTTTTAAATGTGTTTTGTTGAGGGATTGGATCCTTTGTTGAGAAGATTGGATCTTTCAGAGATAAATTGTTATTCAGAGAAGTTATTCATTGTTATGAGAATCTGTAAAAATGACAGCACTTAAATTTGATTCTCTTACTCTTTGGTACAATGTCCAAACAAGGGTTTAGTGTTTATATGCTTTTTTATTTGTACCTTCACTTGCTCATTTTTTTACCGAAGCCACATAAAACAAAACTACCACAGAAGTCAAGATTGTCGGGGTGATTTAAGAATCTGTGACTAGTAAAATCTGGGCCAATGTATGTTCTTTCAGGCTACCTACGATAAGGCTGAAACTTTTACAAATAATCTTTTAATGTAAAGACTATATATAGAAATGGTTTCTCTGATATTCTGTGAGCTAAATATTGCATTGAGTTCTTTGATGCATAGTGATATATGTTAGGCACATCTTCTGTCCTAAAAAATGTTAAACAAATGAACTTGTGTACATCCTGTTTTAAAATGAGAATTGCAGACTGAATACTGTCAAAGCCTCGTGGAAGATCTTTTTAAAAAAATGAGTGATACTTCTTTTTTCAACATATGTAGATAGCAGCTGAGATACAGAAATATGTTTGCTGGAATTTTACACTTTTGTAAAATTTGGTAATAGATATATTCTATTTTTATATAATGCTGTACTTATACTATGTCTTTTTTTTCTATTTTCTAACACCATTTTGTTAAGCTGGAAGACTTGGTTTACAAACTGTCTCATAAATTGTCACCTCTGTAATGGAAAGATTAGATATTTTCCTATATATAAATATAATTTACATGTAAATAAATTTTACATATTAATGTTTTGTCTAAAAAGTGGTCCTTGTACTTTAGTGTAGAGTTAAAGCATGTTTTGCATTTCCATTTTTTTTTATGCTTACTGTCTAAAAGATCCTTTGTTGATCATATTTGGTGAGACTGGGGTATGAAGGACCCATACCTGATCAATCACATATGAAGAGTGGAATTAAGAGCTACAGTTTATATAAGTATATAATGGCAGCTGTTATTTTGGTGGCTTTTAATAACTCACTATTCAGAGGCTACAGATAAAGGGCAGGTAGGAGGGAGCATTTGTAAAGCTGGTCCTTGGATAGAAGTTATTTTTTTTTTATGTAACCTGAGTGTATTACCTTAGACTAATGAGATATTAGGTGATGGCAAGTATATTACCAAAATATTATAATATGATTGCCAAAAATTAATATATAACTAGAACATCCTTATTCTTAGTGCAGTCTTATTTCTGAAACTCTAGTGAGGATGCTAAGGTTTTCCAATAGGAAAGAATAAGATATTGTTTAATTTTTCTTCTTGAGAACATATTAATAAGCTTTTTATTGAGTACCTGTTCTGTGCTTAGTCATTTGACAAATGATAATACAAGCCTATAGAAGAAAAATAAGACTTGCCTGTTTTCACAGGCAGAGGAAATTACAGGAGCAACAAACAGTAGCATTGGGACTGGTATGCTCAAGGAGATCAATGTGGAAACCAGCACACTGAAAGAGAGGTATATATTGGATAATCCTGAAAATTAAAGTCAGTGGAACCTAGAAAGTTAGAGGAATTTGGGCTTTCTGTGGTAGTAGTAGGAAGTTATTGCTTGTTAGAAGTTACTTATTAAACTAGAATTTATACTGTGAAGTAGGAACAAAGAAGATCAAATTGGTAGCTAAGGGCCAAATCATAGCGGATTTTGAAAACTAAGAGGGGAAGTTAGAACTAGATGCAATAGGAATTAGAAAGGCTTTTGATCAATTTCACAAGTTCTGATGACATCATGTTCTGATAACATGATGAAATCAGTTTTTTTAAGGATGTTTGTTATGATGGACCAACAGAGCTGTTTGTTTGGTAGGGATACCTAAAGTAGGGAGACAATATGAGAAACCAAGAGATGAGGGTCTGTCCATTGAACTGACATTAACATTTTGGAAGAAGTCATATGTTGGTGACAAGTTGAGTTCATTCACATACTCACTGAATAAATATTACTGAGTAAATGCCATATAGTGTGTGCAAGCACTGAGGAATCAATGACATGAAAAGATATAGTGGGGGACTTATTAGGCTTTCATTGTGTTAGGGAGATACAGGGACAGAAGACAAATATGAATCAAAGATTTGTACCAGGATTTTCAACTTAGTCAATTAGAAAACTGTAAGGTATAAATTGAATAGATAGAAGAGAAAATTTGTAGGAAGGTGTAGAGGGGGAGGACAATATAATGTGTTTGGGTCAGTAGCTATGGTCTGCTAAGTAGATCTAATGGTTGAAAATACAAATTTATATATGTAAATATATGGGTTTTACTTTCAGACTCTTCAGACTGCTGCATAAGAGTGTATGTTTAATCTGTAACTTGGTCTGTATGTCAGTTTTATCTTTTTGATCACGCAAGAATACATGAATTTTGACAAGTATTTATTCGTTTTTTTAATGTTCTCTTGAAGAAATTTTTTCCCTCACACTATTCACATAACTGTAATACTAGGTTTGGGAAAAATATTTGTCATTGAATTGAGATTCTTATTTGTTGCAATTAACTAGTCGGAAAAGGAATATAGATGGAGAACCTGATAGTGATTTTTTTTCTGTTTTGTATTTGATGTGTAGGTCATCAGATTCCAAAAATATGAGTCAGTGTTTAATATTCTCTCATTCTAGGATAATTTGTAACTTAACCATTCCAATCTTTCATTTTCATCCTCATTGTCTGGTTCTCATGACATGTCATCTTAAACTGTGAAGTGTAAACAAAATGCCAGATACCTCTAGTCTTTAACTCAGACCTCATTTTCTCCCTCCTTCTCTAAGGAACGACTACCAAAATCACTACAATCCCAATGACTTCCAAGCCCAATGTGATTGTTGTGCAAAAGACTACAGGAAAAGGAACCACCATTCAAGGACTCCCAGGCAAAAACGTTGTCACAACATTGCTAAATGCTGGAGTAAGTAAGAGTTTGAACTGCAAATTCAGCAATTCACTGAGGATTTTATAGATCAACTATATAAGTATTTGCCTAAGGACATTAAGAATCCCACAATGGCTTGATTTACCACCACTGCGATGTAATAATTGTTAAAACACCTCCTACTTATGCTGTTTTTCACAGTAATTTCTAAAACTTATAGCTTGTAATCAAGTTGTTTGTGGTGAGTTTTGATGCTTAGCTTGGTCCAGATGGAGGATTCCCCTGGCTTAACTACAGGAATACCGCTACTGGAGGATAATTTTATTCCTGCATATGGCCTAGTATTTGCTTCATCTGGGCAAAGGAAAATATTTGTGATTAAGACTAAATTAATTGATAGGGATTTGTTACTTTCATTTTTACTTATTTTAGCTAGTAAGAAAAGATTATGGTTCTGAAGGCAGTTGCTAAAAGATTTGAAGTTGGACAAACCTGGATTTTGTCTCTAAATGTCATAGTTGTTTGGCCTTGGCTAATTTACTCAAAGTCTCTCTTTATTTCCTCATTGTATGTTGGGGATGATAATCTCTATCACAGATTTGTTCAAAACTAGTAGCTGTTTTGAAAGTGCTCAGAACAGTGCCTAGTACATAAAGTCCTCAATGAATGTTTTTTTTCCAATTGTTATTACTCTTGGTACATAATTGTTTAGGCTTGGTAGTGTTCCCTCTTTGTTAGAAAATAGAATGTTATACATCTTTGTAGTAGAGCTCATGAAAATTTGCTCAGCATCACAATCTACAATGTTGATAGGAGTCCAGCATTACATTTTTCACTATATGGACAAACAGATTATTCCTAGCCTGAATTCATATAAATAAAGTAAGCCAAAGTTAAAGTCAAGATTAGAATTCAGATTTTCAGAACCCTGTAAAGTCTGGTTTGCACTGTCACAGAAGTTGATTTATAAGAGAGGATGCTATGTACCTTCGATTTTTTAGTAACATAGACCTAAGAGTCATGTGTGAATCTTAGCTGCTAAATATATTTAATAGCTACAATTTGACACAGGAAATAATAGTGAAACAAGCAGATCAGAAGGTGGTGAAGACCATTCTTCACCATATGTGAACGTGCACCTGTATTCACCTCTTGCGTACCTGGGCATACAATATCATATATCAGAAGAGCTTTTTCAAAAACAGCTTGCTGGTTAGTTTTGATCTAGTTTGAGTGGAGTGTTATACTTGAATAGGATTCATTGAGTCTATTTAATAAGCATGCCCACTTACAAATGAGCAGCTCTTAGCAAATGAACTCTAGAGCTCTTTCCAGAGACGCTGTTGTGAAAGTGTGTGTATGTGTTAAAATAAGTAATCACACAGTTGACAGACACATCATGTTTCCCTTAGATAATTACAGGCAGATAGTTAAATTTGTGATTTTTTTTATAATCATATTTAGTTATAAGTTCACAGTGATTATCTTTTACCAGCTCACATAGGTGTACTTTGTTTTTAATGGTTGCTAAGTTTAGATGGTCACACATTTAGGTGATGATGATGACTAAAACTTCAGAAAAGTTGGTAAGGTAAAACACTTCAGATCCTTTTTAGTTTTATGAATTTCAATTTTATTTTTAAGATGTATTTTTATTTATATAAGAGCTGGGGTACAGGCCAGAGTCATGGGAGGGTGAGAGGATTCACCAGAGACAGAGCAGGGAGCAGAACAAGCAGACAGACTGAAAACACTGCTGAGGGGAGCAGCGGGAGAGGCAGGAGAGGTCTGCCTCGTCATGTGGGATTCTCCCTGGCCGGATGAGAATCGAATGGGTGCTGCGTAGGCTGTGGACAGCTTCACAGCACTGCACTCAAACTGCTGCGCCACCGGGGAGGCCCTGAATTTCAATTTTTAAAATGTTAATAATATGGTAAAATCACTCTTTGAATTTAATTTAGTTCAAGTATTGACTCCATGAATGAAAATGGCACTTAAGAAAGCAGTTAAAAATAGTGGAAAGTTGGGCCTCCCCGGTGGCGCAGCGGTTGAGCGCTGGGTTGCAAAGCTGCCTGCAGCCTCTGCAGCGCCGGTTTGATCCCCGGCTGCTCCCTGGCCACCGGAGGAGGGTCCCGCATGGCGCGCAGACCTCTCCTGCTGCCCACTGCTCCCTTCAGCAGTGTGCTTCGGTCCTTCTTCTGCTCTGCTCCCTGCTCTGGCTCTGGTGAATTCTCTCACCCTCCCGCGCTTCTGACTGTACCCAGTGCTTGTATAAATAATAAATAAATAAATAAATCGTTAAAAAAATAGTGGAAAGTTAATGGGCTTAAGCAATATACTTAATAAATTAAGGTGATATTAGTAATATACTAATAGTAAAACATGGGAAATGCACCAAGTTTTCCCATGTAACCATAGAAGTCATGTTAATATCACTGCTAATTCCATCTCTTATACTTTTTCACGAAGACAATCTGCTGTACATCCTTATAATTTCATATATGGGAAATTTAGGCAGTTTATTATATGAATATTCATTCCAGATAAATTAGAATATAAAAATGGATGTGAGAGGGCAAGACCTATAATCCAAACTTTTAGAGAGAAATATTAACATTTTAATTTATATTCTTCTAGAATTTTCTGACCCTAATATGTATTCTGTGAATGGGTTAATCTAATAAATATTCTTACATGAGGAATTCATTTTTAAAGTCACTCATCAGGAAATAATGCCTCCTTTGGATAGAAAGTTGGTCAGATGACTTCTTAAATATTAAATAAGTCCAGGGCTTTTGTCATCTGGAAATGTACTTTGTTGCGCAATTTACAGTCCTTTTCCCATCATCCTGATAAAACCTTTCTGTGATTTTTCAGTAAATGGCAATTTCTATCATTTAAATGCATATAAATCTTTTATATACTCACTGACTTCAATTTAGGGAGAAAAGACTATTCAGACAGTGCCAACAGGAGCAAAACCAGCTATCATCACTGCTACAAGACCCATCACCAAAATGATTGTAACGCAGCCAAAGGGAATAGGTTCCACAGTTCAACCAGCAGCTAAGATCATCCCAACAAAAATTGTTTATGGCCAGCAAGGGAAAACACAGGTAGGCTATGAATACAGTGGTTTTTCTTGATGCTGGGATATTTTAAATTCCTAAAATTCCAAAGTAGAAATTTCAATGAAAAGATCAGTGATCTTTAAAAAATCAGAATGTTAAATGTTCTGATCGAGCATGTACAATTAGCTATTTTCAAAACCTGCGTTTCTCTCTTCAGTACTTTTTATATCTAATATGTCTAAGTATTTGTGTTACATCATGAACAAAGACTGGGGAAAAGAGTCCCTTTAGAATGAAAAATTGCTGAAGGCATATTTTGTTATTTGAAATGTAAAAGGTTGAGGGTAATAGTAGTCATTTAGAAACTCTCAAGGGATAGTAATTTCTTTTTATAAGCTAATAAGGACTTTGAAAGCATTATTTACTTACAAGATATGCTTTACTTGCAGCCTAAATAATGGAGAAACTAGAGATCTGTTCATTTTTCAACCAATAGAAGATAAAGGAACTTTACTGGAAATTTGCCTTGGAATTTCAGACTCACGATTTAATCTTATGTTACTAGGTTACTGTTTTTTTGCAGGTATTACTGCTTTTCTGAAAGTAAGAAGGGAAGCAATGTCAGCTTTGGTTGAGAAATGCTATCCTAGAATTTTTATAATAAGTGTTAATTTACCCATAAATGAGCAATTTGTCATTATAATTGATTCCCTCATAGTCATAGCCAAGTAAATTATACATCTAAACAAATAGGTTTTGTGATTAGAAGTTAAGTACAAATTGCCTTTTCATTTCAATTGTAATGATTTTATTTGCTTCATCATCTAAGTCAAAATATAACTCATGTTTTCATTCTTGAATTCTTGAAATGGTTGACTTAATAGAGTCTAAAATAGTTTGGAATCTTATGTGCGAGATAAATAAAAAATAAATGTGGTGAGTTAATATTTTTATGCCATTTCCAATTGAAGTCAACTCCTGGAGTCCTAAATTTTGAAGTCAAATCGTTTAATTTGAAATTTTTGTATTTCATTTGCTAGTTAGTGTTTTTGATTTTTTTTTACCTTTGCTAGGAGTTTGTCGACCACATGTTCCATGTTGCTTCTAATACTATCTAAATCATTGTTCCTTTGGGGAGTTCTTTAAAGATTACTTAGGTCCCAGGCAAGTCAACTTTGTTCAGGTATCTCAGTTAGAAATTTCATTTGGTTACTAATGAAAAGAAACCTGAAGAACAGTGGCTTAAAAAAATGGGTTTTATTTTTATTATGGTAATATAAGTTCTGAAGGAGGATTCCTAAACTGTTATTGTGGCTCAGAATTCCTCCTTGTGTCTTTCTGTTCTGTCATCCTTCGCTTATGACTGCCGTTCTATTATATAGTGTACTGATTTTAAAATGACTCCTTAAGGCACTCTAGACAAGAAAAAACAGGGGTGAAGACTCTTGTCAGAGTCATGGTTTTAGCACTTAGAACATTGTATTTGACTTGATTATAATTTGTTCATAGCTTGACTTTGATGAACAGTGCTGTGCCCAAAGCACAATAAATGTACAGAATGCTGTTTCCCATGTCAGAAAAATACCCGTTTATAACCTAAAAGTTTAGCTTTTTAAATGGTGCTTCTTATAAATGGAGATAATTCTGCTTTTCCTCCAGGTTCTTATAAAACCCAAACCAGTGACATTTCAAGCCACAGTTGTTAGTGAACAAACAAGGCAGCTTGTCACAGAAACATTACAACAAGCATCCAGGGTGGCGGAGGCTGGTAATTCATCAATTCAGGAGGGAAAAGAAGAACCACAGAATTATACAGATAGTAGTTCCTCTTCCGCAGAGTCTTCCCAAAGTTCCCAAGGTAAGATTCATTTTCTTCTGATTTATTTAATTAATGCTGACATAGTAGAAGTTGCATCTAGGAAATTCAGACAAACATGTATGCTTTGCTTTGTCGATTCTTTTTATTTTCTTTTGTTTGAAGAAAGCTTTAGTGAGCTAACATTTTATTTTTGGTAATGCTTACCATTCTTTTCTGCATGCTATATATGGTCCTCACTTAATAGGTAAACTTTAGAGGATGGTTTTGACAGGTAGGTATTATAAAATTGTTTAGAGCTGTGATCCCTCCTGTTTCTTTTTGGGTAAGTAGGTGAATTATGCAAGAAAGTAAACATACCTTTTGAAATGGTTGTTGCTGAACCTTGAGAAAGACTCAGGTAGCCAGGGGTAGGCTGTAAGTGGGCTATAAATAGAATGACCAAGGGTCTCCCTGGTGTCTAAGGGTTGAGTCTCAGCATGCTATCATCGCTACAGCCTGAGTTTAATTCCTGGCCAGGGCACTAACTCACATTTGGCACAGCACACCTCACCTGCCTCTCTCACTGCTCCCCTTAGCAGTGTATTTTAGTAAGTCCACCTGTTCTGCTCCCCACTGTCTCTGGAGAATCCTCTCACCTCAACCCCCGCACCTCTGGCCTACACCCCAGTTCTTCTATGTAAAAAAAAAAAGTATGACCATACATTGCAGTTTGCACAGAACAAGTCCTAGTTTATGTCTGCGTATGTCAAGCATAATCATTAATAGTGCCCTCTTTCACTCTCAGTGGCATCCCAGTTAGATGTTAATTGTATGGTTGAGCTAATTACAAAGCAGGACTTATGAAGCTAGACCTTATAAAGCTAGTGTTTTGTTAATTGTGCTGTTCCAAAAGAAGTCTCTTAAAATAAAGCTTTGAGACTTAACATATTTAATGCTAATGTCTATTAGTTACCTTACCCACCCTTATTGTTAGGTGATATATCTATGCCTTTGCTTATATACTCTGTGCATCTAGACAAAGCATTTTGTCTACCCTTAGTCATTTCCCCTTGATTCCATTCTCTCCTACCCTCCTCATTATTCTGTCTGGAGGGCTTTCTTAGCACCTTAACTTGTCTAATACAGATTTTTTATATTTTACAAATACTTGATTATTTCAACTTTTCAGTGGAGTCACCCCAGGTTAGTCTTAACATGGTTCAAATTACTGATTTTTCCATTAATTCAATTTGACAATACTCTATACTAAGTATTGTGTTAGAAACTATAAAGTTTGCATACATAAAGTACAGTTCTTGTCCTCTAGCAGCTTAAAATCTAGAATAGGGGGTTTAAAAAATAACAGATACAACTACAGTATAAGAATTTTTTAGCAACAAACCAAAAGAAAAAAAAAAATGCCAAAGGCTGAAAGTTTATATTCCAGGGAGAGTAGATGAAAAAGCTTCATGAGGAGGTAGCATTTGAAATGGTCTTGAAAACTTATCACTTAAAAATAAATTGAATATTGATTTTAATACTCAGTTTAGAAAGTAGTGTTTTTTAGTATATTATCAGTGATAGTAATTTTTTTAGTTAATATACTGAGATTTACTTTAGCATTTTATATTGATTATGAATGAGTTTATCTGCAAGTTATAGTGGAGTGGTGCTTATTATCTAATCATTTCTTTTGGACATAGTGAATATTTATAGATTCCATTTGTAGTTCAGCACATCAGCTGCTTTTTCCTCCTTTGTTTTTAAGTCTACAGTTCCTTAAGTATGCTAGCCTTGTATTCCCCCTTGAGAATTATTTTCATAGAGCGCAGGTAAATGTTTAGCCTAAGATCACGCTGGTTTTCCAAGTACGTGAGGGCCATATCTACTGAGAATGTAAACACTACCTAACAGTCCTTAGCCCTTAATTACTTAACATCTTGTAGGTCTATATTTCTTAAGGACTATGCTCTTTATAACTAAAATACTATTATGAAACCAAGAGATTTACTATTACAGTATTATAATTTATAGGCTTTTCAAATGTCATAAACTGTTACTGTCCTTATAATCCTTTCTCTCCCACCCCATATATCGTCTAATTCAGGATCATGCATTGATTGCATTTAATTGTCACGGGTCTTTATTTTTAACTTGGATTTGTCCCTTAGCCTTTCTTTGTATTTCCTGACTGACATTTTTGAAGACTGTAAATAATTTACTTTGCATAATATACTTCATTTTGGTTTTATCTGATGTATTCTCATGATTGGATTTAGCAGGAATTCCACAGATGTGATTTTGTGTCCTTAGTTTTAGCAGGGAGCACATGATGTCAGTTTGTCCCAGTATTGATGGTATTAATGTTAACCACTTGATTAAGGTGATATCCTCCCATTTTTAAAAAAATTTTGAAGTTAGTATATTTCCCTTTTAGACAAATAGTAGTATGTAGGGAGACTTTGAGACTATATAAATATCATGTTTCTCATAAAACATTCATCTACTAGTTTTAGTATCCATTGATGATTTTCTAACATCTTTATGTATATTTAATATTAGACATTCTACTATAAGAAAGAATCAGCCTTTTCTTGCCTTCATATTCATTTTCTGGCAATTTTCCTTTTACACAAGTCATGGAATAAAGGTATCTTTTATACCAACAGGATTTCTTGATTCTATTTGTTACTTCTAAACTTTTCCCTGCCATACCTGATCCCTAAAGTGAAGCAGTTTAGGTCTTATACTTAATTCTGGAATTGTCTCCTCACAGGTTAGAATTGAGACTTCTGCCTTCACTTCGTTGTAACACCCTGGGAGAGTTCATCATTCCTTTTACACTCTGCTTTCAGAATTGTATTACTAGCTTATTTTATTACTGATCATTTTATTTTGTAGTTTTTGTTAGTTTATTATAATTGTCTTCTACTAGGCTACTAGCTTCTTAAGGGCAAAGATCATATTCATCTCTATATAAGCACTAAGTAGGCAGTTAGTAAAAATTTCACTGAACAAAGAGTAAAATAACCATTAATAACTGTGGTTGGTTAAGCTATTATGCTTAAGCATAAGCTTTATAAGGTCTTTTTTTGTTTTTGTTTTTGTTTTTTTTTGCCTAAGTCCAAAATACCGTTTCCTTTTTGGAATTCCCCCTAACCTTGTGGGTGGGCCTTTTAAGTATTAATAGACAACTAGGTGACCAAACCTAATGGATCGAAACCTACTTGCCTAGTCACTTACTGAAAACTGGGCCATATACCTTTCACAACTTCTGAGCTTTCCTTCTTAATTGGCTCTTCTTTTTTCCTTTATTACTTTGGAGTATATAGCCTTTTGGGTTCCAGATTTATTTTAAAAAGTAAAACATTGGGCTTTACTTATGTTCTGTTTATTTCCAAAACACTGTAAGGTGGATTAGATAGAATACAGTATTATGTGAGTAAAATGGAAGAGAACAAGGAGACAAAACCTAGGGTAAGGATTTAAGTTGGAGGATGGCATGAAGTGAATAAAAAAATGCACCCTGAAAAGACATTGCTGTAGGTAGACCGCATACAGTTTCTAGGACAATTTTCTTGAAGCTTCATTGTCTTAGTAGGTCATGGTGCAGGTAGAGAATAAATTCAAGTTAGGCAAAACATAATTTTTGCAGAACTTTGCAGAATCATTTAGGCTAATATATTGTGAAAAATGAAGATAGAGAATAGGCTCCCTCTCTCTTTTGACCTGTAACCCTTCTTTTGCAAAACATCTTAAACTAGTGCTATAGAATGTTTTTGAACGATGCTGTCTAGGTGGTTAAATATAGTAAAGACTTGGGGATTTGTGATAGTACTTCAGAGGGAGGGTATAGAAAAGATACAGATATCTTGAATTTATTCAGAAGAGATGATTTAGAAGGGTAAGGTGTCTGGAAATCATTTTATATGAGAAATGGTTGGTAGAGACAAGAGAAGAGAAGATGAAGCTTGGATTGAGGGAACATTGAAGCTTTTGTCACTTAGCTTGACTATGGAGTAGAAGAGGGAAAAGAATTAGTCTTTATGAATGCTTGGATAGAAACTAGAATCATTAGATAGAAGTCACAGAAAGACCTGACTCTACTCCATATAAAACAATTTTATAATTGTCATAATAATGCAGCGATGAAAGGGAGGAAATAGTGAGTTCTCTGGTATTGGCATTTCTGGATTGGCAGGGATAGTGTGAAGATTTTAGCATAGAATTGACGATAGCGTTAAACAAACACCCTCTCTAGTGGAGAGAGATCTTAAGATTTTATGGAATTGTGCCATAGACCATTTATAGTAAACACATAGGAGTCATTCTTCTATGGTGATACCTGATTCTGCCTTTGGATATGTTAGAGTATGTATCTCTAGTAGGTGTCTAATAAATATGTGGGGAGGGGCGGGCCTCCCCGGTGGCGCAGCGGTTGAGCGCTGGGTTGTGAAGCTGCCCGCAGCCTCAGCGACACCGGTTCAATCCCCGGCTGCTCCCCGGCCACTGGAGGAGGGTCCCACATGGTGCGCAGACCTCTCCTGCCACCCGCTGCTCCCCTCAGCAGTGTACTTCGGTCCTTCTGCCTGCTCTGTTCTCCGCTCTGGCTCTGGTGAATTCTCTCACCCTCCCGTGCTTCTGACTGTACCCAGTGCATGTATAAACAAAACAAACAAACAAACAAATAAATAAATAAATAAACATGCCTCTATTAAAAAAAAAATGTATAAATATGTGGGGAAAGCTGTCCTAGGGTTAGCAGGCTACCATCCTTGAAGAGAAAGGAAAGCCTACATAAATACTGTATGCACACTACATAATTAAATTGTGTTTGTGAGATCATTCTCCTGGAGTATTAGTCATTGTACTATTTCACTCTCCATCAGACTTGATAGGCAGTAGATTTATCTAGTCTAAGCGTAAGCCAGCAGTACAGGGGAAGATCACTTAAAGAATGGTTTTTCACCTAAGTTCATGCTCTCATTCTGTGTCATGGCTTTCAGGACTGCTGCTTGCTATAACACTCTGATGGTCAGTTATTCTTTCTGAATATGGATAGAGTGAGCATTCTCCCCAGTTCCTACTGAGGATGTTATTTGGAGTGATGTCTCTGTTAGGTGCTTCTCCCATATGGAAATTGTTTTCCTCTTCTAGTCTCTTTCTGCCTTCTCTCTCTACGGTGCAATCCCTGTTTTCTTCAGGATATTCAATGTATCTTAACACAGTTAGGTTGCAGAGTCACTAAACAGAGACTACTTATACTATCATGAGAATTTCTTAAATTTGATAACCTAGGGTATATAAAAATAATGATTCTTTATATAGTCAGTTCTCTTAAGTTTAAATTCTATATATCTACTTAGAATGAATAAAGAATAACTGTTAAGTATTTCACGTGGCATTTGATATTGCAAGATAATGTCTGTCGATATTCTAGTTTTGGGGAATGTTTAATGGAAATTATACATACCTAATACGGCATTTATCCATTGGTTTTTTGGAGGGGGGGTAGAAATACAGTTTGTTAATGATAATTGAAAATTCTCAATCTATTGTGTTTTCACGTTGTTTTACTTGGGAAAGACTGGTTTTGTTTTTTCATTTAAGAATTGTTCCTCCTACCCCAGCCTGTTTGGGCTTTTCAAAAATAGAGGGTTCATATGTTTATTTGTTCTGATTTTGTGGGCTGCATGAATTCTTTTCATTCTTCTATAATGCTTTCACTTACCATTCCAATTCAAAGCAGAATTTTACTTTCTACTTATTTGTTTTATTTGTCCTAAACATGTTATTTGGCCCCCAAATACAAAGCCTTATGTATATCTTTGTGTCCTTTCCACTATAACCTAAATTTGGGGATAGTGATCTTGCTTTTATAGCCCACAAAATTTCCTGTAGTATCTTAAAAAAGGAGTTTAGGAACTTAACAATAGATTAGTCCAACTTGTTTATTTTTAAATGGAAAACTCAGTAAATATTTTGTTGCTTGTTTTGATGTGCATTTTAGTATTCACGTGTATATGTGTATAGCATAAATATAATAAACTTTGAATTAGGACTGTAATTTATTTTGAAATTAACAAAAAATCTCAAAATTGAAACTGTAATTCCATGACATTTTATTGTAATTCATAGATTATAAAGCTCTTTTACATATATTACTTCATTATATCCTCAGAAATCTTATAAGGTAGAAAGGTAATTTTATCATTGTCATTTTAGAAATAATGAAATCAAAACTCTAGGAATTAATTGATAATAATTGAAAGAGCTGGGACTGTAATCTAAGGTGTTGAACTGCAAATTATACATATCCTATTAATATCATTCCTCCTAGATCACTTATGTATTCTTGGTGGTGGTGGGCAGGATTTCCTTTATGTAATTTAACCATCCAATAAGTGTTGAATGCTCAGCTTGTAATCCACATTAGGTGCTTTGGGAAATATAAGACTCCTACAGCATTTTATTCTTATACACAAACATGCACCCACCTATAGAAATGCACATCTATTTGTTATGACAGTTATCACATGAATTGTAATTTGTCTTTTTACATATCTGTCTCCCTGACCAGATTGTGTGCTTCTTGAGCATCCTGTGATTATTCTCTGAGCTCCTGTGTGTCGTCAATGCCAAATATATATTCTGGCAGTTTGTTGAATGAATGAATAAGTAAATATAAAACTGAAAGTCATTATGCCCTCTGGGGGCTTACAATCTTCTTGGGGAGATAAAGCATGGAGTTTACAATAAATATATAAAAAAAATTGCCTTTTTTTTTAAAAAGAGAAACTTTGTTTATAGGGTTTTTGTTTTTTTTTTTTTAACTGATATAAAACAGATTCCCAGCCTGTAGTTCATGTAATTGCTTCCCGGCGTCAGGATTGGTCAGAACATGAGATTGCAATGGAGACTAGCCCCACCATAATTTATCAGGATGTATCCAGTGAATCACAATCAGCTACTTCAACAATCAAAGCTCTGTTAGAACTCCAACAGACAACAGGTATGAATTCACATGCTCACCTGAATGAAGCATGTTTTCTCTAGAGATGGATTGTGCTAAAATACTACCACTGTTATGTTTTCTTTGTTATTATTTGAGCACATTTCCCCCCTCTGGACCTGTTTATAGTCTTTGGTGCAGTCTGTCTACTTGTCATTTGACTAGGTTGTGCATAGGATTATTGAAGGATCCACAAACTAGAATCAGTAGAAAGGAGAAAAGAAACAGAGTTCTTTTTTCTCTGTCTTCCTGTCTAAAATGAATAATCCTGTTGCCTTTTGTCATCAGGAAGGAGTAGTCTATCACTTCTGGGCACAAGGATAGATGCAGTACTGCCGTCCGTTCTGTTCAAGAATAGGAGACCAATTGAAGGGGCCCTGCCATCCTCCTTTATATTAGTGGGGCAGTTTTGAGATCAGAAAACACTATTAGTGGTCCTTGCTAGCATTCTTAATTTGTTTTAATTTTATCTTCGTTTTTCTTTGTTTAATTTAACCACTTGAGCTTCCATGTAAAACTGTATTCATTTAACAAGAGTCTATAAGTATTTCTATTACTAAATATCTTCAGTAAATTCTAGGCAAAATCTATGTTCGTTGTAATGACTTTTCTATTACTATAGGTCAAAGATTGCCAGATATTTAAGGACCTTAGTGATGATGTCCTCCAACCCTTTCATTTTATGGCCAAGTAAACTAAAATGTAGAGAGGTAATCTGTTGATAATTGGCTAGTGGCAGAGAGAGAATCCATATCTTTTGGTTCAGTGTCTTTTACTTGTAGGGTAAATTTTATATATTTTATGGACTTGTTTTGCTTTCTTTGTGTAAATGCTTATTTTGATTTTGTCATACTTGATGGGAATAATCTGAATGATCATTCATTGAACTTAATTACTTGTTACTGTTTGTTGTAATTTCTACTCTGTACCACCCAAAGGATACTAGTATTTAATGTAATCCTTCAATTAATCTTTCTATTGGTTTTATTTTTTTGCCTTAGGCATTTCCTCAGTTCCTTATCTTTGGCATGCAATGCCACTTCCATTAATACTTATAGAGGGTGGGGACCAAATGAATGGAATTTGTAGAAAAAATGATAGAAAGTAAATCTATTCAGGGAAACCATTCTTGATTCCAGACCGCTCCATAAGACATTTTTACAGGAACAGAGAGGACTTTTTCTCCTGACCCTAGATGTTTTTATTTTTTAGAATCATGTAAGACATTAGAATGTTTCTTTGGAAATTAATTTGATTTTTTTAGTAGAGCAAATTTAACAGGTTACAGTGTTGTGCTGGTCTAGAACAGATCATGCTGTATACTACTTATTCACCCTTTGTTTTCAGGTTGAACTTGAGAAAACCAGGGACAACCTTAAGGAAGGGAAAAAAATGGCCTGAAGGGAGTGTGTACAAAAGAAACAGACGCAGTTGTTTGGCCTAGTAGTAATAGGATTTTATTATGACTGCGTATGAGTCCTTCTTGCTAGGCTGTTGGGTATGGCTGCACAAATTGTGTACTCTGTTGCCATACATAGTAGTCTGCTTTTTTCTTTTCAACTCACTGTCTCCTTAGACACTGCCAGTGTGTTACCCCAGAGTCTGGTTCATTATTCCCATGGACAACTCTGGTCTTGGTACTTGTTTGTAATAAAAGTTAACTTTTCCCCTGACTTTTTTATGCAGTAAAGGAAAAATTGGAATCTAAACCAAGACAACCCACTATTGACTTGAGTCAAATGGCAGTGCCTATTCAGATGACCCAGGAAAAGAGACATTCTCCTGAGAGTCCATCCATTGCTGTGGTAGAGTCAGAACTAGTTGCTGAATACATCACTACTGGTAGGTGTCCTCTTAAAATGTAGTTTTAAGGTAGGATAACTACCTTTCCGGATTTTGTGGGATGGTCTTTTGGGAAGGATATATTGCTTATATTTCTAGACCTTTTCCAGTTTGCTCTGAGAGTAAATTCATACTGTCCTTGAGATTTATCCTGCCTTTAACATATAGGGGGAAAAATAGGTTGTTACAAAGTTTGCAACTAACTTAAAACTGCAAATTGGCCATAACATGTTTATATAGGACAACAGTTGTAGAGAGAAAATAAAATATCCTACCTAAGAATAAAATTATTTTTATGCATCTGAATTTTTTTGTGTGTTTGTGGGAAAGAGAAGGTGGGTCAAAAGAGAAAGAAGGTATAAAACCCAGCCCTTTTTTAATGTAAAGAGAAAAATGTAGAAAGCATTAAATCCCTGTTAATACTTAGAAGTTTTGATGGAAAGCAAATTAGGTATTTGTTTAAAATGTGGTCTGGCAGCAAAACACTGATGAGATTTTTGGATGGCATATATAGAGAAGTAGAGCGGGAGTGGGAAGATAATATAGATTCTTTTTTTTATATTATATTATGACCACACCTGGAATATTGCTTTTGATTTTGGACACTTCATTACCTTGATATTTTAAATAGATCAGAGAGTAGTAATACGAATAATTACGGGTTAGGAGAGCTGACTTATGCAGTATGTAAGTTTTCTTTGGTAGGAATTAAAAGAAAACATAATGTTTCAAATGTTTGAAGGATATAAATACCAAAGCAGAAAAGTATTTCTTTGGTATCATTTTAAGAAATATTATTTAGACTGCTGGGTTAAAATTGCCAAAAGAGAAAAATCCATTTGAAGATTATGGAAGCCCTCTAGTGTCTGTCGTTAGAGATACTTAGCACAAAGCTAAATAAAGCACAGGACAGTAATTTGGGGAAGTCAGTATTAACCTCTAGGGCTATACTAGATTATCATTTGGTAAATAGATGGAAAGATCTATGATTTCTTCCCTTACTTATCCTTTTCAGAACGCACTGATGAGGGGACAGAGGTTGCTTTTCCCCTTCTAGGTAAGTGGTGTGCATCCATTTGTAGTATAATTGAAGGTAAAAGATAATTGTTTTGGTGGGGGGGAACCACTTAAATGGATGCGCTCTACTCTGATCTGGTAGAGGAAAGGTAAGCTCCACTCTGATAGGGAGCCAGATTTTCCTTTGCAGAACAGTAAAATTGTTCCTAGTAATGAGCAGTTGAAACTGGAAAAAAATGAGTTAAGAAATGTGACTGTTTTATGGTGTTAATAGGCCAGTTAAGGTCACTTCAACTGTTTTCCAAAGGTTCACTCGGGAACTCCTTTCCTAATCTCCTCTCCTATTAGACTGAGCTGCAGTGAGCATTGTCTTTAACTTCAAAGCCCATTTATTGGCCCTGGCCTCTTGATTCATCCTGTAGAGATTCCTAACTCTCCTGCTCTCTAGGGAATTACTATGAAGAGAAGATTACTTTTAAATGGTTTACATTGATCTTCTATTAAACCCATTTCATTTCTAATAAAAAACTTAATGTAATAATAATGAAGATTACTATGGGCAGAAGTGTTCCATATAATATGATTACTTCATCAGAAGTTATTTTTATTTCTTTTTACTTTTCAGATGTCATTTATTTCTGATGATGTGTCCATCAATAAGAACCTTCGTTAATCTGCTTAATTTTAGTATTAGTATCATATGTTTTTTCTCCTCATGCATTTGTGATTTCAGTAGTTGTTGTTCAGTTTGGTTGTGCATGTGTGGAAGATTTTATTAACACAGAATTTTATTTTTTTTTTTTTATTTTTTTTTTTTTTAAAGATTTATTTTTATTTATTTATACATGCACTGGGTACAGTCAGAAGCGCGGGAGGGTGAGAGAATTCACCAGAGCCAGAGCGGGGAGCAGAGCAGGCAGAAGGACCAAAGTACACTGCTGAGGGGAGCAGCAGGCGGCAGGAGAGGTCTGCGCGCCATGTGGGACCCTCCTCCGGTGGCCGGGGAGCAGCCGGGGATCGAACCAGCGCTGCAGAGGCTGCGGGCAGCTTCGCAACCCAGTGCTCAACCGCTGCGCCACTGGGGAGGCCCTAACACAGAATTTTAAATGTACATATAAAACATGCTAGAACATACAGTAATACACTGCAGGATATTTATGAAAGTACTGGCTGTAGTGCCTACAACTTTTATATCACATGTAGGCAAATATATGTCAACAATAGAAAAATTGTGTTTGGCTAGAATTTGTTATAAAAATCAATAAAGCTAGCCCTCCCTGGTGGAACAGGGGTTAAAGTCTCAGCACTATCACACTATTGCCAGCCACTGCGCATTAGTTTGATTCCCAGCCAGGGAGCTGACCCACATGGTGCAGCAGGCGTCTCCTGTCTTGCCCACTGCTCCCTTCAGCAGTGTATTTCCATCAGTCTGCCAGTTCTGCTCCCCACTCTGTCTCTGGTGAATCCTCTCACCCCTCTGCACCTCCTTAGCTAATTTTACAGGTTTTACTGTCTGCTTTAAAAAAGTTAAAGTTCTGTGGAAGAGGATGTGGTGACTGTTTATACTGTTGAAAAAGTTGAAATTGAGAGTGGTACACGATAACAGATTGGCACCGATGTAGATGTGTAGTTTGCATCTTTGTATTTGTCACTACAAGTATAGTTTACTCCATGGGACCTTTGTAGCAAGAAAATAAAAAGTGGGGTTGTTTCCGACAGTCTACTCCCATCTATTTGTGTCAGATGAGCTAAATTTAAGAAGATAAAGAACACTGATTTTTCTATTCTTTTTTGCCCTTATATTTTAGCACTTTACAATTTAAGATTGAAGTAATCAATCTAAATTGATTACCTCATTTTGTCCTCTTTTAGGTAGAAACAAATGTTTATTATCCCATTTAAAAAAAAATCAAACAAAATTAAACCTCTGAGTGGTTAAATGACCTCTTCAAATTTACACAGCTGGTTGATGGCAGAGTGGGACAGAATCCAGGTGTGACTCTCGGCCCAGTTCTCTTTCTGCAGTTTTATGTAGGCCTCTGGACATTTTTAGATTTAGGAATTAAGGCTGTGAGACCATGTCACTTCATATAAAGGAACAAATGCTTCAGGTTTTGAATTATTGCATTTGGAACTAGAATCGTGAGAATAAAGAATTTGTATTGTCTCACTATCCTTAAAATTATTAGTCTGGGATTTGATTATAGAAACTGATTATTGTTTTATTACCTTAGTAGGGAAAATGAGTCTGACTCACCGGAGCATTTATCTTGGCAGATTTTGTTCCTCCTTTGTGATAATAGTTTTCACAGTGCTTCCACATACATTTCTCATCTCATATTTACAATAGCTCTATTATTCCCATTTTACAGATGAGGACACAGAGTCTCAAAGAAGATAAGTAACTTTCTCAGAGTCACACAGCTCATAGATGGACAGACTCTGGTCTTCTACCTCCTAGTTTATATTACCATACTTTCTCTATGTGATGCAATCTCATAGACATTTGTTTAAAATAACCACTGGTTACAGATGCTGTGGTGATTTCTGGAGAAATATCATCACCTCCTCTATTTTCAGTCAGCCATCGCTCCCAGCCCCAACAGCCCTCCCAGCCCCAGAGGACCCTCCTCCAGCATGTGGCTCAGTCACAGACTGCGACACAGACTTCTGTGGTGGTGAAGTCCATCCCGGCGTCTTCCCCTGGAGCCATCACCCACATTATGCAGCAGGTTGTATCTCTTCTCTTCCTACTCCCTGTTAACTGCTTTCTTCCTGAAGAAGGATCAGTTTCGTGTCTTATTATAAAAGGGCAAATAACTGAACTGAAGAATTTGTAGTTCCTTTGCAAGGATTGAGTAGAGGAAATTAATTGAGAGTCTTAACACTAGGAAATAACTAAGCAATGCTATTCTTAGCTCTTACCATTTCAAAAGGTAGGGCCATCTAGATGAATCTGTGACACTGAATTGGTTACTGTTTCTATGTTACTATTATGGAAGAATTTATCACTGAAGTAAGATTTTTCAGATGAAATAGAAGTTAGTTTGTTTAGCTGTTGATGGATTTTTTTTTTTTTTTGGCTTGCTTTACTTTTTGCTTTTATAATGAATTCTCATGAGATAAATATATATAAATATATATATATATAAATATATATTTGACTCATTTTACTATATGTGACCAATTAAGGAGGAAGAGACTCAACATAAAGGAGAATAAACTAATATAAAACAAGATCTGGTACAAAGAGTAATGAGGAAAAGAAAAAATATGTTGATAAGTTGATTTTTTGACAGACACTTTGCTTTGAGCTTTAAGTACATTAACTTGTTTAATTCTCACTATGACCCTGAAGGTGAGTGTATTATAGCTCTCACAAATGAGGAATACTTACATAAGTTACATACATAAGGAACTTACATACATAAGGAACGCATACTTACAAAAGTTAAGTAGCTTACCCCTGGCTGGCAGAACCAGGATTTAAACCTAGAGCATCCTGCCTCTGTTATAAAATGATATCATAGATACCATATTCAAGCATGACTTATAATTAGTAGTCACATAAATCACCACCATTCAAGTGGTAGCTGTTGACCCTAATTCTAGGGAAACTACCTGAAAGACAATATATTGTAGAATTAAAAACCTATATGTGTAAGGTCATTATGAGATAGGGGAAGGTTTCAACCAAATCTCAACCTTCTACATTTAGAGTAGAGATGCAGCATATGACAAGGCAGGTAAGGATGGGTTTGGAGTGACTCTTGTGTCACTAAGGGAAGCCAGATGGCCAGAAGTTTTGCTGGTTGTCAGAGCTAGTCCTGGAGTCTTGGCCTCACCTGATGGTCCTGACATTGACCATCTCAACTCACCTAGAGAGGTCAGACAGGCTGGCCCCGACCATGTCACCCGAGGCTGCTGCCTCCTCCCTGCACTGTTCTATCTGACACTGGCGAGGCAGTCTCTCTGTCCGCTCACGTGTGCGCTCTTGTTCCCTCCTCAGTCTCCTGCCCTCCTGTGAGCCGGATCTCTGGGAAGGTGTTGCCTGGTGGGCCTGGAATCTGAACAAGGGGGCGAGGAGGGCTAGTGTAGAGGGTTGTCCACAGCCCTTGGTGAATTCTGCCGAACCCTCCCCATCCAAGCAGAGAGGCCCTTTGCGGGGACGGGGATGGGCACATCCCTCGGGCAACCACTCGCACCTTCCGGAGCACGCTGGATGTGCACATGGCCCAAGTGGGCATGTCTGGCTTTCCCCTGAGTCCCTCACTCCGCGGGTGCTGTATCCTTTCTCTCGCTGGGTTAACATCTCTTCCAGGCTGGAAAGGTGACCAAAGGTGTTTCCTGAGCCAGAGGGCCTTTTCTTCTCTCTCATGTTGGGTAGTGCTTGCAGGGTAATCTTAATCACTCTTTCCTGTAAGTTCTGGGTTACCTAAGAATTTTCTTTTAGAAAGCAGCTAGACCAGTTTTGGTAGCCATTTAATGTCTAAGAGTTAAAATTGCTCAGTTTTAATCTGATGCCCCCTTTAGATTGGCAACCTTAAGATTTCTTGTGTTTTTTTAGTTTATTCCTTCTGAAAGTTTTTGAAAGAATCTCATAATCAAGTTTTCTGTGGTTTGAGGAATATGTAGCAATGTAGGCATTTTTCTTATTTCATTCTTACTTTGTGCCTTTTTTACTTAGGCTTTAAGCAGTCACACTGCTTTTACCAAACACAGCGAGGAACTTGGAACTGAGGAGGGCGAGGTTGAAGAGATGGACACTTTAGACCCTCAGACAGGTCTGTTTTACCGATCTGCCCTGACTCAGTCACAGTCAGCTAAACAGCAGAAACTTAGCCAGCCCCAGCTGGAACAGACTCAGCTGCAAGTGAAAACTCTGCAGTGCTTCCAGACTAAACAGAAGCAGACCATCCACCTGCAGGCAGACCAGCTCCAGCACAAACTCCCGCAAATGCCCCAGCTTTCCATCAGGCATCAAAAACTCACCCCTCTCCAGCAAGAACAAGCACAGCCCAAGCCAGATGTACAGCACACACAGCATCCCATGGTGGCCAAAGACAGGCAGCTTCCTACCTTAATGGCACAGCCCCCACAAACTGTAGTACAGGTGCTTGCAGTGAAAACCACGCAGCAGCTCCCTAAACTGCAGCAGGCTCCGAACCAACCAAAAATCTACGTGCAACCCCAAACCCCCCAAAGCCAAATGCCGCTGCCAGCCTCGTCAGAGAAACAGCCGGTGAGCCAGGTAACGGAATATTGATAGCATGCAAAGTTAAACTCTGTTCACGGAAAATATGAGAACATCACGGCCCTATTGTGATTAGCAGTGCTTTCTCCTGGCAAGAGGATACTCAAAAGCCTTATTACGCTGATATTACTTTGCCCCATCAGAAGGTTGACATTAGGGAAGAAATGCACGCATTATATATAGGAAGAAAAAAAAAGCATAGCACTCAGAACTTGATTTTCCAGATAGTTTTTAATGAAATCACTTCAGCATTGACCAACAGTGCATAGAGGCTGTATTCCTAAATTATTTTTATTTTTTAGATAAAAATATTTCCATGCTTGTAGACTCTTTTCTGTTGCAATAATGCTAAGTAAACTACAGTCTTTTAAGGAACTTCATTGAACATTTTCCTTTGTAGTTTACAGCATCACCACCTAGTTAATAACTTTATCTTTTAGATTTATCTTATAGATTACAGAGGAATTATCTGTGGATATTCAAAAGAAATTATATTAAGGAAAATCAGTGGCTTTGGAGTGATATATATGTGTGTATGTGTATATTATAAATCCATATAGAATACGTTTGTGTAAATGTAATTTGAAGCAAAAGATCGGAAAAAAATCCTGCTTCTTTTTATTTTCAAAAGCCGAAGATTATATGAAATAATTGAGACAGCTTGGAAGTGTACTGTGTGGGGATATAAACCCCAAAGGAAAAACAAGGCTGCTGTGACTTTTTTTTTCTTTACTGCTATGAACCTTGGCTGAACAAGGGTTCTTTCAACCCCTCCTCTTTCCCTAGATTCCTTAGAAGTAGCCAGATACTTTCCCATCCAGCCTCCTTATTAAACACCAAGCTTCAAAATGTCTTCCTAGTATACCGCACGAATGTTTCTTTTGCCATATTGTCTGGGGTGTTTGATAGGTTTTTTTTCAAAGAGATGTAGCTGTAACACACACAACCCCAATTTGTTTTCAGGTGGAGCAACCAATTATAACCCAAGGATCCTCTGTTACAAAGATAACTTTTGAGGGGCGCCAGCCTCCCACAGTTACAAAGATAACTGGTGGCAGTTCTGTGCCTAAGCTGACATCACCAGTTACAAGCATATCTCCCATTCAGGCCTCTGAGAAGACAGCAGTGTCAGACATTTTGAAAATGTCTTTGATGGAAGCTCAGATTGATACAAATGTAGAGCATATGGTAGTGGATCCCCCAAAGAAGGCTCTTGCCACTAGTATGCTCACTGGTGAAGCAGGATCAGTATCTTCCACTCACGTGGTGGTGACAGGGATGGTGAATTCCACTCCCCAGCAACAGAAATGTAGAGAGTCCTGTGCAAGTCCATCTGCTGTTGGTCCTCCCCTAACGACAAGGAAAATCGATGCTACAGGAGTGTCTACAGCAGGCCAGTTCATGCGTATTCAGAATGTAGGCCAAAAGAAAGCAGAAGAGAGCCCAGCAGAAATTATCATCCAGGTAAGAATTAGAAGGAAAATGAGAAATCTTGGGCATCTGGGGGGTTTGATATATCTTGGGGTGTCATAGGAAGAGTTAAGCCAACAGGGCAAAAAGACAGAGATTCTATCTTTGAGCTGCATTTGACAAATTTGCTTTAGGACCTAGTACAAATATATGAATTTATGTTTTTTTCCTGCAAGAGAGTTCTAGAAATTGATGTTATATGTTGACATATAGCATACTTTAGAGGCAATCAGGTATCCCAAGTCCATTTGTCAACTTGATTTATAGATTCAAGTCATACTTGTCAGTGTTAATGTAGTAAGTCAACCCAAAAGATTGGTAAATTCCTGGAGGCAAACTATGGGCTCCCCAGTCTGTGTTCAGAAACTCTTGGGATATAACTGGATTGCACGTCTATGTCAATTTCAGGGACCCTTTCCTTGGAAAAACATACTTCTTGATCCAGATTTATGGTTTTCAGCACAATAAAACCTTAATTAACTGAAATGTCAGGAGAAACATGTTGTAAAAGAATGTTTCTAAGTAATTTACTTTTATATCTAACTTGGGATTAACCATAAAGCTTTTGCTTTTTATTTCAATCATGGTTACTGAAAAATCCTGTTATGATTACTGTCCTGCCTAGGTGATACAGGCTAGTGAACATAAGGACTATTGATTGAGAGTGGTTCTACCTCTGCTTCACATTCCCTTCATTCTAAAACTTATCTGTTGTCATGGATAATAGATCCAGAACATTGAATCACTGAGTCTAGACTAGCCCTTAGAAGTTGTGTTTTATTTCCCTCTCTCCTTGCAGGGTATCAGGATGTTTTCGTGACATTTATCATTTTTTTGTTAAATTTATATATGACTTAGAAGGTATCAGAACAGCACATTTTAGTTAATTGAGAATTTAGATTTATTGAAATGTGGATAGTTTAGAATTTATCACAGATTCTCATATTGTGTGACTTAGAAGTATCTGTGATAAATCCCTTTCCCATGATGCCAAATTATAAGAGAATGCAAATTGACTAATTTTAATCAAATAACATAAGTTGGGGGGAATGCTGGAAGCCAAGTAGAAATGACCATTGAATTATTTAAATAATGTGTATCTCCCTGTAAAAACAAGTGTTAGTGAATGGAAAAATCCTCGACAAAGGGATTTGTTATGTTGTTCTCCCTGCTAAAGACGGTAGGATATGGGAGAAAAGGCTTCCTGGCTTTGACATGCACAGTGAAACCTTGGACAAGGCTATTTAACCTCAGTGTTGCCTTAGTTTCCTCATCAGTAAAATGAGAATAAGGAATGCCTGCTTTACATGATTGATGTAGGATTAGAAAAAATTGAGATGAAGCACCTAGCACAGTACCTGGCTCAGAGTGATTGCTGAATGAATACATGGTAGTTACTACTGTTTTTACTATAATTACTGTAACTCCTGGGGGTTACATTGGTATGCTCACTGAATTGAAAATCATTTTGGTTGACTTGGGTTATTGGAAAAGTCATGATGCATTTTTGCATAGAAAACAGAAAAAAAATATGCTATGACTTTTCTGGCAACCCAATATTTTCTGTAGTTTATGAACAGGGGTGAAAATATAATTTGTTTCATGTATCAAGCATGATAACTGGTGAGTAGGTTTCATCATGGACCTTGTGCTAGGTTGTTGCTATGTCAGGGATGGGTAACACACTAGTGAAGAACCAAGCTTTTGGAGTCAGAAATACCTACATTTGAATATTGCCTGTACTCCTTGCCAACATTGTGGCTTTGAGCAAGAGAGTAACTCTGTGGCCCAGTTTCATTGCCTATGAAGTGGAAATGGTAACACGTACTTCCCAAGGTGGTTTTAAAAATTAATAAGAAAATGTATATAAACCAGCTGGTCAGGTATTTGGTTCAAAGTACTACTCAGAGATAGCTTATGTTGTTACAATCATCATTAATATATTGTTAGAACATTTTCAGATCTCATTTGTTATGCTTAGCTTTGACCTAAAGTAAATTTTACTGATTGAGGAGAATATGTATGGGAATGTGTTGAGAAGTGTCCAGAGTGCTTGGATTTCTTGAAAGATGTCTAAAAAGTCAGAATGTTGATACTTAATGCTCTGAATGAAAAGCATTGTTCTTTGTAGACAAGTATCTGTTTCGTTTATTCATTCATTCATTCCACATAAATTATTTAACCTCTGTGTTCTAGGCACTGTGCTGGGAGCTGCAGGTAGAGGAGTAAATAAGATGAATATATATTCTTTGCCGAAGGTGGGATTCATAGACTTTAAGAAACACGGGAATCTTTAGAACTTGTCTTCTCCAACGAACTTACTTTACACAAAATTAAATTAAGACTCCAGGAAGTGAAGTGACTTACAGTGGTCCATAGCAAGTCAGACCCAGAGGTGAACTAAAATCTAGGTCTCCACATCCCACCCGAGACTTTCTCATAGTGATCAGCTATGGGGGATGGGGAGAAGCACACAAACAAAAAACTCCACTGCCCCAGAATCAGTGCCTTAAACATCTTGCTGTATTTTCTTGAAAGTGTTAAATTTACATCTTTCCCCTCCCAGTAGAAGGTTGTCCCGGTAGAAGGTACATTTGCAAAATGCTGATATTCAGCTTTGCTCTGGAGTTTTTAACGTTAAAGATACTCATTTGACAAATGTTTATGGAGCATCTGTTCATGCTCTGGACATCTAGTAATAAAATAAAAAATAGTCTAGAGTTCTGCGGTAGTCCATGTTCTTATGGAGCCTACATTCTAAGGATGAGAAACAATTTAATAAGGAGATGGTAAAAGCAGCGACGAACATGTAAGTGAACGTAACAGCGGTGGAGGGATGGGCTCCGCCCAGTCATCTGGTTTCATGGTCATGAAAGGAATCTTCTCAAATCCTTTTAAACTCTAAGCATTTGGACTAAAACACAAATGATGGGATGGAACCAGCTATGCGAAGGTTTATTTTCTAGGAAGAAGGGAGGAACTAGTGCAAAGACCCTCAAGTAGAAGTTTGACATAAAGCTGAAGCCATGGTAAGAGTTGGGTTTTATATATAGCAAGTAGAGTAGGAAATAATTGCAGCTTTAAATAGGGGTATGATATGAACTGATGTACTTTTTAAAAAGATAAAGATGAGAAAAAAGAATCGGACAAGGCAGTATGGTTACCATATCTATCTATTTACTGGTATTATTTCATTTAAAAAACAGTCTTTTCTACTCTTATTTTCATTATAGATTGTTTCTTTGTGACCCAAACAAATAATTTCCCCTTTGACAACCAGAGGCTTACCAAAATGCTGAAAATACACTGTGGTGTATTTTACACTGTGGTGCAAATTAATCATTCATCTTCAGATAATAATGAACAAAATCTGACAACATTTACATTTAAATTGGCTTAATGATCAATCAAAAATATCTTCCAAAGTCTGTCTCTTGAATTAGGCATGGACTTCACATAACCTCCTTTGTTAGTAGTGGTGCCATCTAGGAGTAGAACCGTGAGTTTTAGTTGTGTAAGACTTAGATTTGAGTCCTGCTATTAATCCTGACTGTCCATGCGACCTTCATAAGTCACTTACTCAGTTTCCTCATTTTAAAATGAAAGTAATGTTTTCCTTTAATGTTATGGGGATTTAGTAGAATATTACGTGAAAGTACCTAGCACAGTGCCTGGTGTATAGTAGCTCTCAGTGTTCTTTTTCCTTCATTAGCGCGTTTGGGGACACCCTTCTGTTGCCTTTCCTTACCATAAAGTGTCTCTCCTGTGTCTTGTCTTCCAGGCCATTCCCCAGTATGCTATTCCTTGTCACTCCAGCTCCAATGTGGTAGTAGAGCCCAGCGGGCTTCTTGAGCTAAACAACTTCACCAGTCAGCAGTTGGATGATGATGAGACAACAATGGAGCAGGACATAGACAGTAGCACAGAGGATGGAACTGAGCCCAGCCCTTCTCAGAGTTCTGCTGAACGGTCCTAGTATTTTGGACACAGGAGTGCACTTTAAAACCTACTTGATTACCAAGTGTCCAGGGAAGCCCTTGTATTTTGATGTATAAAGAGAGCACTTTGCCCATGCTAAGGCTGTGGACCCCAAAACAGCAGTGTTTCAGCAAGATTTGCTGCAGGAGCAGCATTTTAAAACAAGAAAACTCACAGGGGAATGTACTTTTATAAAAAAAGAAGAAAAAGACAAAAAAAAAGATGCACCTCTACAGTGACGTAAGACCTGATATTCTTTCTCTGTTGGACCATGACCAATGGAAAAGTTTGTCTTGCAGTAGAAAGAGACTTTTCCTGTGAATGTTCCTCAACTGGTTTCTACTAAGCAAAATACCATCCAAAAAAAAGAAGAATGTGAATAGTTTGTATTTTGAAATGGTGTGTTGGGAACAGTTTTTTCAAGATCTTGTATGGTTTTGTAAATCCCTGAAGTGTTGAATTGGTAATCATATTACATTTGCTCAGTTCATCGTTTATAAAATAGCTAGAAAAATACTGGCATTAAAGAATCCTTGTTGGATGGTGGGAATTAGATGCCTAACCAGTGGGAAGTGCTTTGTGGGTGGCTTGTACATTTTCACCAATTGTATGCTTATTTATTGTGTTGTTGTTCCTTTGTGCTGTGGGCAGCATACTTGCCTTCTATTTATTTAAATGTAAACATTTCAAAGCAGGCCATAATCCTTCTGACAAAGTTCCTGTAAACCAGGATTGCCTACCCTTTTCTACCTTCTGCTTCCCCCTCCCCTCCTTTAAGAATACTTACAAGAAAATGTTTCGTTGTGAAGCAGAGGAAAAGAAACATTTTCTAGCCCAAAGGAAATACCCAGTTACATTCAGGACAACAATATTCATATGATGCTATCTTAACATTGAAATTGCACATTCATGTTGGACTGAGACTTTAAAAATAACTTTTATGTACTTTTGTTAACCCCCTTTGAGATGTATGAAAAGTTCATTTACAGTTCTAAATGTAATGTTTTTTAAGCATCCTATCTTTTTAGGACACAGTTTGTTTAAGCAATATGTTTGGGTCTTGTGATCACTGTCACAGGTAGAGTGAAGGGTCAGTGGGTGGGAGGGTAAGAGTCAGTTTTGACAAGTTGTGGCAAAGGAAACTACTTTTCATTTTTTTAAAAATGTAAATAGAAAAGTTTTTAACGGTTTTATATAGATTTCACTATAAATAAGCATTTTAAGACTGACAAATGTTGAAATGTATATACATATATCAGCATAACTGCCCAATTTTTTTGGTGCTGAAGTACTGTAAGTAGAATTCATCAACAGTCTCCTAATTTTTGCAACTATATCTGGAAAAAAATAACTGTGATATTATAGTTAATAAATCCCCACTAGAGTGACACTGAAGATTTAAACGCAAGCATTCATAAGATGCACTGGTCTCTGGTAGTTGTCATTACCTCTGCTAGGTGATAATGACTTGCCCATAGATGGAGCTGTTGGATATTATTTTATTGTACCAATTCATGTTTAAAAGACTTTGTGACTCTGTTTCTAGTTAAGTAATTTTTTAACCTCTTGGGTCATAGACTTCATTGAGTATCTGATTACACTATGAACTCTCTCACCAAAAAGATACACTTGCCAATATACATGTTAGATTTTACATACAATTTTAGGGGTCATGGACCTCTAAGCCTATCCATGTATTCCAGATTAAGCCCTCTGTTATGGTCAATTCATTACTTACAGATGTAAGTTTTTATAAAATAAAATACCTTTTAAACCTTCATGGATCAGGTAACAAGAGCCAACTTGAATAAAGTTATTGTGTTTTACTTATACCCATTCTGGCAGCATAGCATACCTATGTCCCTTCTGAAATTTTGCCTTTGTGTTTTACATTTGGAATGGTGCATGAAACTTGCATAATCTATATTTTTAAAAATGAGTATATAAAGAAACTATCAAGTGAGGAATTCTTTTTTTTTTAAAGGTGTTTATTTTAAGGAGAACATGAATTCTTTTATTTGTTCAACATTAATTAAGCCAGGTACTATTCTAAGTACCACAGATATCCTACTGAATAAATATAAAGATCTAACCCTCATGGCATTTACAAAAAGAACTTTTGCTGATAAAAGGAAGTGTGAGGGCTAAAAGGTGGAGGAAACAAGAAAGACAAGGGCTTTTTGATTAAGTGGATGGAAGGTGATACCATCTATGGATCTCCAGGCATCCTTTTAGTGCAAGTCTTAGCGTTAGCTATGTATTTCATGTGTTTAAGCCCATAAATGTAATTTTAACTCATCTGGGGAAAAATATTCAGAGATTACATTGCAAATACTACAAAAAATTATTAGAACCCTACCAGCTGTTACAGAAAAATCCATTTGGTTTAAAATAAGCTGGTAACTACTTAGTATTGCAGGTGCAGCTGTGGTCAACTTAAAGAACTTTAAAAAATAAATAGCTTTATTGAGATTAATTCACATACCATACAATTCACTCACTAAAACTGTTACACAGTTCAGTGGTTTTGTGCATATTTACAGGGTTGGGCAGCCATCACTACAATCAAGTTTAGAACATTTACATAACTCCATAACTCTGTAGCCATCACCCCTGAAACTGTACCGCCACCACCCAACCTTCTCTAAGGATTTGCTTATTCTGGGCATTTTATATAAATGGAATCATATAATATGTGGCCTTTTGTGACTGGCTTCTTTTGGTTGGCATAGAATTTTCAAAGTTTATCCATGTTGTATCATGTATTCCTTTTTATGGCTCAGTAGTATTCCATTGTGTGGATATACCAGATTTTAGTTACCCATCCATCAATTGATGGATATTTGAGTGTTTCCACTTCTTGATTTTTATGAATACTATGGATATTTGTTACAAGTAGTACGTATGTTTTCAGTCTTGGGTATATATCTAGGAGTGCAGTTGCTGGTTCATGCAGCAACTATGTTTAACTGATGCTGTTTTCCAGTGACTGCTGGTTCATGCAGCAACTATGTTTAACTGATGCTGTTTTCCAGTGACTGCACATTTCTTAACAGCAGTGTAGGAGAGTTCCAGTTTCTTTACATCTTTGTCAACACACTTTTGCTTAGCATAGTATTTTTAAGGTTCATCCATGTGAATCTAGTGTGTGAAGTGCTCCTTCATTGTGACTGATTTCCATTTCACTGATACCTAACGATGAGCAACTTCTCACATTACATAGGCTAGTCATATACCTTTGGAAAAGTGTCTATTCAGGTCCCCTGTCCATTTTTCAATTTTTTTGATTTATCTAAATTGAGAAATTTTGAAGTACAGGAATGATTACTATTAAGAGAAAAGTAAGCTGTGATCCAGTAATTCATCATCCTTAAAATTGTAGGGCAATTTCCTTTAATGTAACAAATTGCTTAACATTCTTTAAACTGCATAGAGCTTTATAGTTGAAAATGCTTTTAAATGCATTTCTTTGTGAGGTTCTCTCAGCAGTGTGCTGGGATAGAACATGGTACCAAGGAAAAGGTAGGTAGGCGGTCTGGATTAGAGCCCCAGGCTCCCCTGTGTATGATCACTTGAACTTGAGCAAGTCACAGTCCCTATAATACAAAGTATTTCTGATGCCATGGGGTTATATGAAAACTAGATGAATTAGGGCCTCCCCTGGTGGCACAGCGGTTGAGCGCTGGGCTGCGAGGTTGCCCGCAGCCTCTGCAGCGCTGGTTCGTTCCCGGACCCCGGCGAGGGTCCCACAAAAAAACAAACAAACAAACAAAAAATAGATGAATTAGTGCAGCTAATAATTCCGGGCACAGAGTTAATAGGTACTTTTTTTTTAATAAAGTCTAGTGTTTAAAACACCCACTTTATAACTAGAAATGAGGGCTCATTGATGAGTGAAGTACCAAAACTTGATGCTACCAGTTCCTGCTTTTGTAGAGGAGTGTGTGTCACCAAACACAACCTGCCTTTGAGGAGACAGTAACTTGGGTTTGTCTAGAACATGGCTTCTTTGCCAACCTTAGCGCCTGCATGCAGGTGCTCCCTTCAGGTTTGTTTTTTGAGTTCAATTATGTGTCACAAATCCGAGATAAGAGGAAGTGGAATGAAAAAGTACCATAGAAGCAAGGCTTTCCCAGAAAAGACAGTGAAAAAGCAGTTTATTGCCTCTGCTTGCAGGTTTATAAGCCTTTAAGTAAGGAAGGCCTGATGACTTATATATTGAAAAATGAATTTAAACACAGTGGGATGAGATTTGTACTGTGGGAAGGCCTGCTCTGCCTGTTTTCCTTGCTTACACCAGGGGCACTAACTGAAAACAGATACTGATTTTTTTTTTTAAAAAAAAACAGGCAGGCCTGAGTTTGAATCCTGGCAAGCCATGTGAGCTTGGCCAAGCTAAGAGATTTAAAGCAGAAGATGGAATGAATTACAATGCTGTAATATCTAATTCCCATTTTTTTAGAAAGACTGAAAGATAAGTAATCTCCTTCCCCGCTACTCCGTAGCCTGGCAAAATGGTTCTTTCAGCCTTTCTAATCTTTCTCTCTTCCCACAAATGGCTATTAGATACTTCCTAAGTGCAGACATTAGAGATACAGTTGTCAGGCATAGGGTGGGAATCCCTACCAACCTGGAGCTTCTGCCTAGTAAAGAAAAGTTAATCAAAGATCACAACCAAATGTGTTCAGTGATAAGTGCTGTGATGGCATAGTATTTAAAGATGGGGAGGTTGCCTCAGGAGCTGAAGGCTCCTGACTGGAGTTCCACATGTCCACTGTCACACAATGTGAGGTTTCCTATGTTAAAAAAAATCCCCCACAATGCACCCCTTAGACAAGCCCTTAAAATTCTAGAGAATTAAGAAAATTCAGCCTAAAGTGAAAGATGTTGCGCTTTCCTGATTTTTTTTTCTCTTATGCCCTTGAATTGAAGCTTAAGACTTACTGTTCAAGATTGTTAGAGTTTAGTGAGAGCATTGCTGATAAAATTCACTCTTGCGTTCCAGTCAGCTGCATTCTATTTGGATCTCCAAACAACCAACTGTTTTTTCCTTGCCACAGTTTATTCGTTAGGGTCTGTGCTCAACCCACATCCTTTTTCACCCTACACGGTCTTCCTGGGACTTTCGTCTGTGCGATGACTCCAACCTCTATCAATAAATGGATTAATTGATTAACTGAATATATATTTA